TTTAATACAATAGAAATATATTTTATTTTTTCATATCAAATTTTTCTGGATAAAATAAAGATAAAAGTATTATAAATAAAGGCTTAATACATCAAAGCCATGTTGTATAGGGTGATACTAATTATGGTACCAGCACTAACCTACGATATATTATAGTATAGATTGCTAATATTAATAACTTTTATTTTTCTTAGAATTTAAAATAATTAAATTTGATATTTTTTATAAATTTATGAAGTCTGCTGCTTGATTTTTATACCACAATTTCAGTATCTGTGTTAACCGTATGTTGCTGGTTTTTTCAAAATTATATAAATACAGGGTGGCTCAAATTTCTCTTAGTTGTTAAAAAGTGCTGATGTGTAGCTGAAACAGCTTAAAAATATTTTCGTTATTTAAATTTGAGACACGCTGTATGTTTAGTGTATAATTAATGATAATCGAAATAAGTGTGATGTACGTGTAGGTGTATTTTATTTCAGATTGTTACTGTTATATTTGCTAGAAATTGTGATTATCGTTGATATTAAATGAGTTTCGAAAATATATCGTCTTTTAATAAACTTGTCATTCTTTTATTTATGTATTGCATCATTTTAACAATACTTTATGGATTTCGTCAGTACTGTGTCAATAATAATTAGTTAAAAAATACAATACTACAAATTACAAAAAACAAAGAGTAGTAAACTAAATACTTCATGAAGAAGTGAGTAAAATTCATTTCAACTATAGAGGGTGTCCCAAATTGTTTTGTCCAGGCTATAACTTTTAAACCATACAAGATATTCGAACTGGGCGAAAACTATTCAGTACAATTAATTGGTGGTGGACTTTAAAACGAATAGAGATTTGTCGACCCACCCCCAAAAACTACCCCCTGGCACCACTCACTTAAAAATTCTTAATAGCACCCTAATTTTTTAGTCGCTACTATTCTCTATACAACTGTTTTTGAAATTCTCAAATCGCTTCATAAATAAGTGAGAAATAAAATAAAAACTATATACCAAGTTTTTGATAAAAACTATAATAGTCTTTAAGTAAATAATAATTAAAAAAACTCATTGAAACACGAGTAGGAGATGACAAGAAACAAAGAGTAGTAATAACTTATAATAAGTGCTAAAATTGCTCACCTTTCACTTTCACATATTTGTGAAACCTTAAGGCCGTGAAAAAGAAGTGAGAAATCTAAACAAGTCCTCATAAAAAGAGAAAACAAAAAGCTACCCGTCAGGTGCTGCTTCTAGTTAAGCGACTACCTGACAAATATAAGTTTTGCAGTTTCGTATCACCGAGTAAAAAAGAATTCTTCTAAACTCCCAGATACGAGCTCGACTACATTATATTTCAAAGACGCTATAATTCAGTTGAATATAATAAAAGTGGGCATGAAAACAGTTATAATTTCCCTAAGCCCTAAACTCTAATCCCTAACCAATATGTTATTTAAATCTTTCAAATACCTACCTACTAAATAATTATTTGGTTTAACCGCGTTTGACCAAAATTTTTGTTGTCAACATTTTTGGATCGATAAATATTAACCAATTAGCTCAAGTGACAAATACCATATTTTCCTCACCTCTAGTAAGCATAGGCCTGAAAACCACCGACTTTTTTTTTATTTATTGGTCTCAACTTATAAGTACAAATTATTTAACCAGCACTAACATTAGTTACATGTAAATAAATATAAAATTTAAAACACTATTTGGCTCTGTAAAATTAAAAAAAAAGTGAACAATATTTTTTATAAATTAATGTTAGAAGATTTTTAAAATGATGTGATTATGACTGCAGTGCAAATTGGTTTTCGTAAATAATCATTTAAATATAAAGGGGAATACTGGGGGCAAAAAGCTGAAAGCATTTTTTTGGTATAAGTATTTTATATTGTCTGTATTATTAATGCATTCCATTCAGATATGACCTAAAGTTCCAATTTCACCACAGCTGCAACTTGGGAAGTCAAGGATACCAATTCGAAACAGATCAGCAGAACTGTAGCAGTGACCAATTCTCATTCTGCACATTGTACCGATTTGTCCCTTTCTTAATTTAATTTTAACAAACCAGGGTGTTCGAGGCAGTTTGTCTAATATATTAAAAAGTTGCTTTCATTTAGTTTGACTCAATTATTGCCATTCTTCACTCCAATTATTCCACATTTTATTTTTAACTTTGGGTAGCATATTTCTATAATCCATTGTCATTACGTCAGAATAATGTTTGTTGAGTCCTAATTTAGCAAGTTTGTCAGCTATGACATTTCCCTTTATATTCGTATGACTAGGTACCCACGCAAAAGTTTATTAGGAATTCCAACGACCTGTCCAAATGGCTACCAGTGGGTAATGACAGTTTAGATATGGCAACCTTGTTGTCATGTTGTCATTCACAGGGTCAATGATACATATATAGTTATATAGATTGCTCAAAGCTGGTCGTTTACGAGCGGCCATATTGCCTGGCAAATATTTATTAATTTGAATCGGTTTAGCAAAAATGTGTTTTAAAACCAATTTTTAGCCTTTAGATATTTAAAAAAAAAATAATTGCTTACATTTTTACTTCAAGGCATAAGCTTATGTTTATTTTGAAAAATATGGATGATCAATCTATGTAACTATCTATTTCATTGACCTTGTCAAATCACCAGGCCTACAGGGTTGCCATAATTTTGCCAAATCATAACCCGTCAGAACCCACTGGTAGCCATTCAGTTTGGAATGCCTAATATTTATATTGATATTAAACTGAATGGTTGTTTGACATATAAATCCTACTCGTATTTTTAAGCCGACAAGGGTGAAAAAACGGTCTGTGCGCTTGACAATTTGGACGCCAGACTGTCAATTTCGAACATTTTACGCATAGATTACTAATGTGAATAGATGGGAAACTCAATGGTAATATTCTGAGTCGATGTGCTGCCATCTATCAAATTGGAGTGGTACTAAAATTCAATATGGCCGCTTAGCGCGGGCTTTTTGAAATTTAACTTTCTGCTAGTCGCGCAAAAATATAATGAAGAAAATCAAACAAAAAAAATAAATTGGCAAAATATTTGACTAGTTTGAAATCATAAAACAACCATATTGACTGTTTTGTGATTTGAAACTAGTCAAATATTTTGCCAATTTATTTTTTTTGTTTGATTTTCTTTATTATATTTTTGCATTAATTTCAAACTTGAAATAAAATGCAATTTATTTTATTTTATTACAGTAAATTAACGCCGCATCATATAATTTGTCTATTTAAACATGAAAATAGGTTTTCTGTAACAAACTCGACATATTTAAGTGCTCAAGACCGATATAACAGTTTTGCAACTTGGAGTGGCAATAAGTTTGAAAAAACTGAAGCTCATCCTTTTGGTGTCTTACAATCTTATCTCATTAGCGTAGAGGGAGTTCCCATGCAACAAAAAGTACGGAATTCAAATCCAGGATGAAGACAAATTTAAATGTTAGTTTTGCAAATATGGAATTTATTTTTTCTTTATTTTAAGGAATGAAAATTTCAAATTTAAAAAGATTACATATTAGGGTGGAACGAAAAAAAAATAATATTATTTTTTACTATATAATACCTAAGAAAAGTTGCCTCTAAAATTTCAATTTAAAAAAAAATGTCTTCAGGGCTCTACCTCCCATAAACAATTTTAAAAAACAAATATTTTTATTTCTTTTTTTAAATTTTAATACAAACTAAAAGTTGCCTTTACTTATAGTAAACTATTTCCTAAAATTTCAGTTAAAAATAAATATGTATTCAAGCCTCTACCTCCCATAAACAATTTTAAAAAACATATATTTTTATTTATTTTTTTTTACTTTTAATACAAACTGAAAGTTGCCTTTACTTATAGTAAACTATTTCCTAAAATTTCAGTTAAAAATAAATATGTCTTCAGGCCTCTACCTTTCATCAAATTGAAAATAATATTCTAATAAAAAACATAAACAAAATGCACTTATTCACAAGTGCCTGGCATCAAACTTTTACATTAATAAACAGATCCAGAAAATCCCAAATATGCGCTAGTTCAGTGTGATGTCATTTTGGTTCCACTGACATTTATTTCTAACCAAACTTTTAACAAAAACATCAATAAATTTGACATATACATTTCTACTGTTTTTATTTTATTTCAAAATATTGTTTACATATCATAAAAAATAGTTTAAAGGTATGTAATTGGTAACTAAACGATTGTATATTTGATACATGCTAACGAACAAAACGCACTCAACAAATCTACTGTCACTTTAATTGTCAGTGGAACCATAATTACATCATCACTGAACTAGCGCATTATGTCACGAAACTCTTCAAACTTGTTCAATTGTTCAGTTTATAATCGTTTATGCACGCGAATTGTGTAGCTTTAAGCTGAACTCAGTCTTCTTCTTCTAATAGTCGTGGAAGTAAGATCTTTGTTTTAAGTTGTAATGAGTTTGTTAGTGAAGGACACTAGGGAAGCTACTAATTGTCCTATATTTGATGCACCAGCGAATATACTCTCTCATGTTTTGCCAACTGTGGAAAATATCATGAAGCGATATTTGCTTATTCGAAATGAACTTAAGGTTTTGAGCTCCGGTAAAGACCCTAGTATTTTAGAAATTTCTCAAATTCTTGTGAATGAAATCGAAGTGATCTGGGAAAAAGCTTCAATTCCCACTATATCGAAAAATCGCATAATAAAATTAATTCGAGATATCCTGGGTAAGTACCAAATCTTTTAGATATCCTAAAACTAAACGAAATGACAATTATAAGTTAAAAGTTGAGAAATATAAAGACGATTTAAAGAAATTATTCGATTTTGCTGAATGTAAATGTGCTTCTTTTGATATAAGTGGCTGTGTTAAGAAACGCAAAATACCAAATATAGAGCAATCATTTATTCACGATCAACGAACTGTGAGAAAATTTGTTATTGGAAAAATATACCGAAACAAATAAAAGCCAAAGAAGAAAGAAAAATGAAGATCACGGCGTATGCAAATCAGCTTCCTTTTAAGTTTGAAGTAGACAATGACAACATTGAATACTTTAGGCGAGACAATATTTCTTACTCATCTGAGTCTGAGATGTCAGTAGAGCTTGAGAATTCGACAGAAAAACAAGAAGCTAATTTGGAGCTTCCATCAACATCAGGTTGCAGTATAAACCAGCAAATGAGATTGCCTATTCCCAATCTAGCTCGTATTTCTGGCCAATTTGGCATTTCGGATCGTTCTGCAGCAGCGCTTGCATCTGCTGTATTACAGGATTTGGGACTTTTTTCGAAAGAAACATCGTCTTCAGTTTTTGACCGATGTAAGAAAGGATAAAACGATGTGCCAGGAAGAAATTTGAAACAAATTTCATCGCAAAATAAAAATTGAAGAACATATATTTCTCGAAGAACCAGGTTCAAAATATATGGGTCACATTACACCAATAACAGGTACGGGGAAACAGAAACATATTGCCATGTCTATAGTTAATTTTCTACAAGAATTTGACATCAGTACAATTAAGCTTTTAGTAGTAGGCTGCGATGGTACAGCGGTTAATACAAGAAGGAAAAATGGAATTATGCAGCATTTAGAAACAAAACTGAAACGTCCTCTGCAGTAGATGATATGTCAGCTACATATGAATGAACTGCCTCTTCGTCATATTTTTCAATATCTTGACGGAGAAACTTCAGGACCTCGTGTATACTCTGGAGCTATAGGAAAAATGTTGGAGTATTGCGAAAAATTGCCATTTGTAAATTTTGTTCCAATTGTTAGCCCTTTACCAGAACTAGACGCTGCAGCTATTAGGAATCTTAGCACTGATCAAAAGTACTTATATGAAATGTGCCACTCAATTTCTAGAGGAAACTGTTCATTAGATCTAGCACCTCGTAATCCAGGTAAATTATCAAACGCACGATGGCTTACAAAGGCAAACCGTATATTGCGTCTTTACATCGGAAGTAAATGTCCGTCTACAAATTTAAGAACAATCGCTGAATTTGTGGTAAAAGTTTATGCGGCAGTGTGGTTTGACATTAAAAGAAAACCATCGTGTTGTGATGGAGGAAGCCACGTCTTCAGGATGATACAGTTGTCACGCTACTTGAACTACGAATTGAAGGCAGTCATCGATCCTGTTATCAAACGAAATGCGTATTTTTGTAATCCGGAGAACCTTCTTCTAGCAATACTTTCTGATGATCGACCTGTTATAACACAAATTGGCTTACGAAGAATATTGAAGGCGCGCACAAAAATATCTACAGACGTAAGGGAATTTGTTATTCCTGAATTAGATTTCGATGCCAGTGAATATTATGAGCTTATTGATTGGCAAAATTGCTCAGTTACAGCACCACCTCTTTTAAGTACTGCAACTGATGGAGATATCGGAGAATTTATGAACGATACAGGAACTTGTTCTGTAGATTTTTTATCCCTTCCTGCCATACACACGCAGTAGAGAGGTGCGTGAAAGTTGTACCAGAAGCTTCCAATTCTATTGTCGGCCATGACTCTAGAGATGGATTTATTCGTGCAAGGATTAATTCTAGAACCATACTACCTCGATTTAACACTAAGGCCGAATACAATGCATCAATTTCATATACCTATTTTTTTTGTTTACTCTTCTATGTTATATTGTTAAGGTTATAAACAAAAAAGAACATTTAAATTGTTTATTTTCATTTTTATTAAAATATTTGCAAAAGTGATACTATTTCATTTATTACCCTGTTTTATTAGATTATTCGGGAAAAAAGGAACATTCAAGTAGATGACATTTTAAAAATAAAATAAAAATAGCCTGTTAATAATTCTTACATTTAGCAACTTTTCCGCACTATTAATTAAATTGACCCTGCGCAAAACATGTTCAATTCAAGTTTTTCAAAAAAAAAAAAAAAATGTATATTACAATTCAGAAATAAGTACTAAGATGGTAATAAATAATAATAACAAAATGAATATAAAGCTTAAAGTAAAAATTAAAATTAAAAATTGAGGGTGACTATGCGCAAAGCATGTGCAAGTTTTTCAAAAAATATATCACAATTCAAACATAAAATATTAACATTTTGGCACATAATATATATTGGTGATTTCATTAGCAGGTTAGTCCTGGGAATAGGAAGAGAAAACGTGTTGAATGTCCGTGCATTTTGTCTTGTTACTAAAAAGTAAAGTACTTCTAGTAGAATAGAACAATCAATTATATTATGAATTATTTTATAAATTGTAGAAATTGACATTAATTTTCTTCTATTTTCAAGGGATTGTACATTATATCCATTACGCAACACATTTTTATCAAATCCGTGGGGGGGATAGATACCCATAACCTTGTAATTTAAAAACTTTAAAAATTTGCGTTGCACCCTTTCAATGCTGTTCTTCTGCAACTCTGTCTTCGGATACCAAATCAAAGAAGCATATTCCAACTTGGAACGAACTAATGAAAAGTACAGTGACTTTAAGGCAGCTTCAGTTCTAAACTTTTGACAATTGCGAAATAAAAATCCTAACATTTTATTTGCAGATTTAGTAATAGTATTAACATGTACACTAAAAGTTAGCTCCGAATCAAATATAACACCTAGATCTTTAGTTTGATCACACCTGACTAGTTCTTCATTATTAATGGTATAATTTAAATTTGTTGTGTTAACTTTTCTGCTAAAACTTATAGCTTTGCATTTTCGTACATTCAGAAACAATTTATTGCGCTTACACCAATCATATAAATTATTTAATTGTTCTTGAAGGAATAAACAATCATGTATATCAGAAATTTCAAGAAATACTTTTAAATCATCTGCAAATAACAATTTGGAACAAGCGATATAATCAGTGACATCATTGATGAAATACAAGAAAAGTAGAGGACCCATATTGGACCCTTGAGGAACCCCTGAGGTAGCATAAAATAAATTTGATGAAAACCCATTATAAGAAACAAATTGTTGTCGACAAGATAAGTATGAGTGGAAGAATGTTTTCATTGCTGATGAAAATCCAAATTGATCTAACTTGTTAACGATTACTTTTGGATCGATTTTATCAAAAGCTTTTTCGAAATCTGTTAAAACTACATCTGACCACAATTATCTAAGGTCTCATGTAAAAACTGAGAAAAAGATGATAAATTAGAAACAGTAGAACGATTTTCCATAAAACCATGCTGATGTACCGATATTAAACATTTAGTTAGAGGGTAAATTTTATTATAAATACAAATTTCGAAAATCTTAGCAAAATTATTTAAAACTGAAATAGGGCGATAGTTATTAAATAGAGATGGATCTCCTGACTTGAGAATTGGACATACACGTGCGATTTTAAATTTATCTGGAAATATAGAAGTTTTTAATAACATATTAAAAATAAACTTAAGGGGTTTTATAAAATATTTCTACAATCTTTAATTAAAAAACTGGGTATACCATCCTCACCGGAGGTGATTTTAGCGGCTAGTTTGTTGATTGCAAAAATAATATCTTCGTCACTAAAACATTCGATATTTATACTGGGAAGATTATTTAAGCCCTCTGTTAGGATCGTATCAGATACTGATGCAAACACACTACTAAAGTACTCAGCAAATCCATCTACTATGTTTTGAGGAGTGTCGTAAGAAACTCCTTCGTTGAACAGAATTCCCGGTATTCTCGATTTACCTTTTTTAGTTGAATATATTTCCAAAATTCTTTAGGCCTTACTAGAGACGGAGTTTTCAACTTTAGAGATGTAGATATCATATGCAACCCTAGTAAGTCTTTGGACTTCTTTTCTTAAATTTTTAAATCGATTTAAATAAAACGGATCGCTAGTTTTAGTATATTTTTTATGGCAAAAGTTTTTTAATTTATTTTTATTTATAATTTCGGCATTATACCAAGGTGGATAGCCATGTGTACGTTTTCTGTGTAGTGGAACAAACAAATCAAAAAGAGAATTTAAGTTTAAATAAAATTTTGAACAAGCTACATTCACGTCGCTAATAGAATCTAAAAATGACCAATCGTTGGCATCTAGGGCACTATATAAATTTGGAAAATTCGCTCGCTTAAAATTGTAACTTTTGCGTTCACACGTAACTGGAAAATTAATTTGATTACATAATTGATCTAACGAAAAATTAATCAAAAGAGATGGGTGATGTATATCTTCTTTAACTAAAGGTATAGTTTCACGGTTTACGCTACAATTTAAATCACTTAAAACAAGATCTAGCAATCTCTCATTACAATTTGTAATGTTATTAAATTGGGTCAAGTTGCAGAGATTGATAAAATCGTTAAGAACTATTTTAGGCCTACAATTGGCATTCTCATTATTAAAAGTAGCTACATTGAAATCACCAATAAATATTATGTTATTGTATTGAGAGACAATATTTTCCAGAAGTTCAAATAAATTTTCAAACTTCATTATAGGTATATTGGGAATATAAATAGCAAATAAATAAATAGTTACATTTTCAAGAACACACTTACATCCCACAATATCAACTTCTGGAAGATAATTGGTTATAATAGAACAATTTACCCCTGACACATTAAATTTCCTCTTACAAGCTATAAGAACACCACCTCCCCTATTTGCTTCTAAAATATCATAGTTCCTATCACATCGCAATACATTATATCTTTGATCAAAATATTCATAACTAGATATATCAGCAGTTAACCAACTTTCAGTGATAAAATAAAAATCATACTCATTAGAATAAACATTTACATAAAATTCATCTACCTTTGTCCTTAAACCACGCGCGTTCTGATAATAAATTGAGTGAGTAGGTCTGCTGGGCACTTCTAGTTTAAATTTATGATCGATGGCATACCATTAATGAATTTTATTCTTAAGTTTTCTTCACCATTTTCCATTCGTTTCCGAAGATCTTCTTTAACTGATTTATATTGTTGTATCTGCATAGGTGTTCTGTCCGGAGCTAAATTGATTTGTTTATATGTACCTGTTTTCAGTTTTTGCGAGTTTTTTAAATATTTAAAAACATGTTGACTATCGGGAAGGATAACCTTTAAGGGCCGTGGTTTGGCACCTGTAACACATTTTCCAAGCCTAAAATGTTTTAATTCAACGGCTAGAGGAACGTTCGAAGATACATGTTTTAAAATATTTATAACCATTTGTGCATCAACTTCATTTTTTTCTTGATTATTGATCCCATTAGTTTCTGGAACATTAAACAACAAAAGATTGCATTGTCTCTTTTGTCTTTCGACGAAGGCTTGGCCATTATCGACTACGGTAGCGTAGGTGTCTACGGCGCTGGTATTCATTTACGAGCCAATTTTGTGGTAAAGAGACACCGGCATCGAATCATACAGAAGACCATGTGAATTGGTTTACATGTTCTCTATAGGATTCGATGGATGCCGTACTTAGATAAAAGAGACCGGAGATATAACATTGCACATTGCGCATGTTGTCTATTCCAAACCTAAGTAACCCACCAATTAAAAATCATTGTGTTCCCGACGCCACCCGAATTGCTCCGAAATTTCTATTCTTTGCTTGTCTCCGTGTGAGTAAATTATTTATGGACCGCCATTTTTGAATTATTTGTTGGTGTTATTAGCAATTTAAAGTGTTTTAGTTATTCAATTTCAAGTTGAAAATGCCACGATGTATGGTGAAAAATTGTATATACAAATAATATGTGTCAATGTTATGAAAAATAAGAAATATATTCGTTTTCAGCGGTAAATATTTGTTGACGTTTTGACATAAAGTCGCCATGATTCTTTGAGCTGAATACTTCAGATCCGCATTAAGGGTTTCAATAAATATTTAATCTAAATAGGAAGTAAATAGGCATTGTTACTAACGAAATTTTGTTTTTAAAAAGTAGTTTTATAAGAATATTTACTAAAAGTGGTTTTTAGCCTTTTATTAGATATTTTTACAAGATTATTAGATGAAATACAGGTTCACCTACTTAAAATTTCAATGTTTATTTTATTTGCGGTTAAATCGGAAGTGACATTTGAATCTTAAATCTTAAAACAAAGTAAAACGCGCAATATGATCTAGTATAAGCAAAAAATACTAAAGTTACGGAAATTAGTCATATTATTAGTAAAATGTTACATTATAAACCCCTAAACAACTCGAAAAATATCTTCGTTTACTAAAAAAATTTAAATTCTAGCAATATTTATTATTCAATCGAATGCGGTTTCAAAGATAACAGGATCAATAAATCCCAATCTCTAAATTTTGGAGCTAAATGCTCTGATAAGAGCATGCGACCGATAGGGGTTACAAAAATAATCGATTTGTCGTTTTCATGAAAATCGATTTATATAATTAATCGATTATCTTTAATAGATTATTTTTGATTAATCGAACATTTTTAATAAATTTATTTCGTTTTTTTGGGTAATGGAATAATCGATTATAAAGGAATTACAAAAAGAGAGTAGATTTATTCAAAATATTCGATTTATTGAAAATAATCCATTATTTTAGATTAATCGATTATTTTCGATTTTTCAAAGGTATTCGAATAATTTGGTTTAAAATACAAAAAATAGATTATATAAAAATAATCGATTGATTGAATATAATCGGTTATATTATATAATCGATATTTCGGTTATTTTTTAGAATTATTGATTTATCGGTAAATCAGCTTTTTATTAATCAATTATTTTCGAGTTTTCAAAGAAAATTAAATAATCAGTTTTAAAAGGAATATAAAAAAAGAAAAGGATTATTTGTAAATAATCAATAATTATTCAGTTTTTTTTTGGAAAATCGATTTATCGTAGAATCTTCTTAATTAATTGGTTATTTTCCGTTAATCGATTATTTTCGATGTTTCAAAAATGATCGAATAATTGATTTTAAAGGAAATAATTCTTTTTTTTTTTTGAAAAATCGATTTATCGATTATTCGACTTTTTAATTAATCGATTATTTTTGATTAATCGATTATTTTAGATTTTTCAAAGATTATCGAATAATCTGTTTCAATGGAAATACGAAAAAAAAAATAGAAATTAAAAATAATCGATTATTTAAAATAAACGATAATTCGTTTATTATTTTTTGTAAACACTGATTTATCGGTTAATTGGCTTTTTAATTAATCTATTTTTTTTTATTTTTTAAAGATAATCAACTGGTCTATTTTAAAGGAAATACGAACAAAAATAGATTGTTTGAAAATAATCGATTGATCGAAAATAATCGATTATTATTAATGATCAATAATTTATTTCGATAATCACCCACTCCTAGCGACCAAATGACTTTTAATAGGTTTAAATTTTAAAATGTTATCTTATTTCAGACATATACATTTCTAGAGTTTTATGTGACGCATCCTCTATATTATTTATATTCCTAAAGAAACAAGCTTTAATATATCTTTTTCTGAGGTTATAATACAAAACAGCATTTTCTCATTTTGACTAAATTTTAATATTATGTGATAGTCGTAGAAAAAATATAATGTTCAACTCACAAGGTTTGATTTGTAGTATTCGCCTGCGCACATGCTTTTTATAATACTCTTAGACAATGAGTACCATTTCTTACTCGATTAACAATATTCTATTTCAACATTTTACTGTAGTCTCTTACAGAAAAGTCCATAGTAAATAATAGCTAACGAAATATTCTATAAAAGGTCTTCTCTTTACATAAAATGTCGTGGCATCTGTTTGATATTAAAAAATCACGTTAAATTTATTTCATAATACAAAATTCCATTAAACGTATATTTTAAATAAATCTAATAGTTCATTATGATGCTAATAAACAAAGTCCGGTCCCTGTCACAGAGTTCGAGTGCCTGCCCAGTTCCCCCACTCCGTTAACCTTTCTTTAGAAATTGGCAACATTTGCGCAGGTTAAACACCAGTGTATGTTATATCTCTGGTCTCTTTTATCTAAGATGCCGTATTAGCAGACATTTAATTTTTCTTGATATTATACCCAGATCATAAAAATCGGCATGCGTTACCGTTTTCGATGATAGTGGGTGGGGTTTTCCGGGATTTCCTTACCTGTAAGTCAAATGGCGCCATCAATCATCTTTAGGTCGCCCCGGAGCGTTACGGCAAATAATAATATTAGCGGGGGGTGGGTGGCTCAGTGGTAGAGTCTCTGCCTGTGGATCCAAGGGTCCCAGGTTCGAATCCCACCGTTGGCCAGGATTTTTTTATTCAATTATATTATTTAAAATTAATTCTGATGCCTTGGTAGGATTCCTTACTCGACCATTCACTGTTGGGTTCTAATTAACAGTGCTGTTCCTAAAGTGGTGTTGAGAAACAGTAACAAAGCCTACACAGAACACGAGGCTAATGACCTTAGCAGTTGATGCCGAGGACACCAAATAAAAAAAAATAATAATATTAGCCGTCCCTTCCCCTACACAAGTCGCTCAGTCGGCTTCAGGGGTTGAAATTCACTCGTACGGAGGTGAATTAGGGAAAATTTGCTGTCGGCTCCTACGTGCGAATTATTATTTAATTTGGTTTTTTTAGCAAGAAAACCATGAGCTGTAGTTTTTTAGGTACCACAAGGTCATTATAACACTGTTGTATTGTCAGTTTTAATAACAAATTCCGCTAATAAATTTGGTAAAAGCAGAATCTCGTGACACGTAACCATAGTCATTGCTTATGATAAAAAAAAAACGTACAAACTAGGTATACAATAATAGTTTATTAAAAATAAAAATCAACTTTATAAAAAAAATTATATCTATGTAAAAATTTAACAATTAACTGTAGACAGTTTTTCTAATATGTCTGACACATTTGGCCTTTCAAACTGATTTTGATTCCAACATTGTTGGTAAAGATGAGAAAATTCATCAAAAGGTTTTTCTGATTCGGGACGTAAATTACATTTTACAACCTAAAAAATGCAATCAAATTATTTTAATATAAACACGTATTATAACTTTATCGAATACCTTGTAGATAACGCATTCGATATTATCGATTTCGACATAAGGCGTTTTTCTTGTTTTTAACTGCCAAAATATAATTCCTAATGAGTAAATATCGCTTTTTTCATTTGGTTTTTTACCTAACAAAATTTCAGGTGCAGTATAATGAATAGTTCCCTAGAAATAATGTCATTAAAAAAATTTGTATTATTTAGTGAAAACCAACTATTTAGAGAAAAACTTTTAGAATCACTTTATTTCAGACATTCATTTTTTAAATCCTCAAAACTTACATGATGTTGAAAATGGTCCACGCATTCAACATTTTTAACAGAATTTCCAAAATCGCAAATTTTACAATTCCCATTTATAATTAAAATATTACTGGGTTTAAGGTCCAAATGTAAAACTTTATTTGAATGGCAATATTTTAACCCTTCGCATATATCAACGGCGTATTTTAATAATTTCGAAAAATCTATTTCCGGGTTAGTATACATTTTTTGAAGCGTATTACAGTTTTCTAGGTACTCCATGAGTATAAGACAAAAATTTTCTTTCTCATTTTCAACTATTTCTAACACGGTTACTATGTTTTTATGATTCAGCGTGAGCACGTTTTTTTCTCCAATATAATTTGTTTTCCTAACTAATTTCATTGCTACTGTAGTACCTGAAAATAATAACAATAAAGAATAAGACAATATTATGGGTATCTAGTGTGAATAAAAATTGAACATTTGATTTTATTTAAAAATTGATATTCAATTATAGTGCTTAATTTGAAATTAAAAAAAATATTAGCTAGAAATGGGAAATTATAATTTTTTGATAAAGCTTCTGAGAACATTAATTCTATTTAAAGCAATTACTTAATTTTTATTCACCCTACTCAATGAGGTAGAGTTGAATTTATAGACCGTTTACACGCGGCCAATTGTGAAGACATTCCACTAAGCGAATCCAATGACAAAGAGTAAAGACAATCCAATGAACATTGTAATTGTCGTTTTACGCGTAAGCTTTTCAAGTGCATACATTCATAGTTATGTAGGTATGTGCATAATGGATAGGCGAATAGTTTTGAGAGCTAATTTTAAAAAGTGTTAATTTTAATGCAAAACGAGTTCTTTCAAAATAATAGAAGAAAAAACTGCTAAGAGAAGATGGCTAGCCAGAAGATCTAAACTAGGTCAATCAAGTTTTATGTTAAGAGAATTACAAACAGAAGATCTTGTAGAATATAGATTGTACATGAGAATGACGCTCAAGTTGTTAGAAACACTTTTAGTTGCTTCTAGTACACAAAAATTGGATAGGATGATGCAGAATTCTATCTATGTCTATTTTTTTTTACATCTTCAGTTGTCATTTCTGGTAACTCCATTCCAACATTTATTTTTTTTTTGAAGTTGTATTTGGCACGGTATGATAAACTATCAATTCTAAAGAGGCATTCTTCTTCTCCGTATAACATGATACATTTTGATGTTATCTCAGAAGATCATTTTCTTAAAACCATATTGAAAGCAGCTCAAAAATCAGTCGCTTAAATTCAAAACTCGACAAGTCCATGATAACAGACTTTTGGGAAATCGCAAAAAATGATTAGACTTTATATTCCTTGGATTATAATACTACATTATACACTTAGGTTTAGAAGTGAGCTATTATTTACCAAGCACTTTTATATCCTGAGGCGCGTAGCGCGGAAGGATAATATAATGTGCGAGGTTTATAATGGCGTTCTGAACCGAAGTATATATTGATTTTTTTTACTATTAACACTGATGTATTACCATATTTGATTTAATTAGATTTTGATAAACCCAGCTTTAGTGATTTCCTATTTATTTTTAAAATATTTTAAAATATCAGGTAGGTAGTCTGGGAGTTTAGTTGTCAAATTAACAAAATGAAACTAATGAAATTCAATTTCATTATTTACCTAGATGTTTTATATTATCATTACTTACCTAGGATGAGAAATATTTTTTCTCATTAGATGAATGGAGTAAATAATGGTGATTTCTCACGTTAGTAGTAAAAAAACTCTTATTATGGCATATTATTATATACACGGGCGGTTAAAAAATATTAAATCTGGTTAAAAAATAGAACTGCATGTTCCACGTAATCAGTGATCAATATTTGGACATGTCGGGTTTTGCACAAAAAAATTTATGATTTTTTGAGTTTTGGAACTAAATTTACGGTAAAAAAGACACAACTGCATTATATTTTAAACCAAATAAACATAAAATAGTCAAAATAAATATAAAAAAATAAACGCAAGAGGCAAACATAAAATAAACTCTAGTCTAAACAGATTTAAAGGTCAAAAATTCAGGGTTCTTTCAAACAAAATATTTCGTCCACCTCAGTCAATGCGAACGAAGAGCCACCAGTATTTCCAATTTCAGGCTTATTTAAAACTTTTTTAAAATGTACCAGATTTTCATCAACTTTTTAGTATCCCCCATAATGTTTTTCTATTAACTTTGTAATGCTAATTTTCTTATCGTTTTTGATTGGTATTCCAATTTCAACAACCTTTGGCTTTAAACTCATTTTTTGTCATTTTTAAAGGGGATTGCGTTGTACCAATATAATTTCTATAAACACTTTCTCTCTTTACAGCGACACCATCGTCAGTTTTGGAAAGAATTACTCTTTTGGAAAGCTGCAATTTAAAATACCATTGACTGGGTAGTTTCATGGCACTGATGTCTTCCAGTGCCTATTTTTAAGAACTTTAATGTACTATTGTGGACTGATTATTTCCGTTTTTCTTTTGTTTTTTAATTTGACCAAAATGCCTATCTGGAGGTATGTAGGAATGTCCAACTACTGAAAAGAAGACTTCAATATTTTTAATAATTGTTGCAGGGCCTAGTTTTAATAACTTTAACTTCCCTATCAAAATCACAATTAATTGGGGTTATGATTGACAACCTATGTTATTTTTAACAGTTTGTTATTATATAAACACACAGAAATAACAACCTGTCCATAAATAACGCATCTAGAAGATCTAGAGCAACTGTACTCTACCTTTTTTTCTTTTGGGCCACATAAATCTGTTTGTTATGCTACACGGGCCACAATATTTTTGGGTGACAACTAGAGTTGCCACCTTTTTGAAATGTAAATAAAGGACAATGAGTGGCGATAGGAATCTGCTTTAAATGTTTTCTAAAAAAAGTCCTCATGTTGTTTTAATAAGCTTTGAAAAGTCGCAAGGACAATTTGTTTTAAAAAAGGACTGTAGGTCAACAATTTAAATTTCTAATAAGAGTGTTTGGAGCTGCACAAAAAAGCTTGGATAGCCACATAAAACAGCTTGGATAGCCACATAAAACAGCATGGAGGGCCGCATGCGGCCCGCAAGTTGAGTATGGCTGATCTAAAGTCTAGCTAGAGTGTAGGAGAGTCGAGAACTTTCTTCGTACAATAAAGAAACATTCAAATCCGTATTAAGTATTACTTTTTTTTAGTATTTGACATAACAAATGGCAGGAGGAAGAGATAAAACTGATACTATAAGAAGAACATTGGTCCAATTCATGGCCACTAATTTTGCAATTACCCACAATTGGACAGCAAATTGCAAAATATATGCAGCTTAATATTAAGTAATTACATACTAAATATATTCTTATTATTGTATTACAGGTCTTAATAGATCAGGCAATTATTTTATTAAATATTATCTTTCATTGATATACGATTTATTTTAAATTTTTATGAAAATGTAATTATTACGTTATTTTAGTTTCATTTCGAAAAAACTATTATTAAAAAATGCCACCCAAAAAAGAAGACAATACTGTAACAAAATTATATTGGAGGAATGCAAGCGACTGTGAATATGGACGAGACAAGAGTTATCAATCTAAAAAAATTAAATGATTATATAGCCAATTACATTAAAAAAATGTAATGTGTGCATTTCAAATTTTAATATTAAATATACCTGAATGTCCTAAATTTGTCTTATAGGTATTCATTTAACTATTTTTATATAAATTATTAGTATATTATGCAACGATCATGTAATAAGCATTACCTGAGAGTTGCATACGCTATTTTTTCTACCGATAAATAATCAAGAACTATAAATATTAATACGTACTGATTTTGACAACTAAAACAATTACATAGGAACCTAGGACAAACGTCAAATGCACAGCATGCTTGATTGAAAAATTATGGGTTTCTATTGATTAAAAATCTGTATCGTTATGAAAAATCTGTATCATAATAAAACGGATTATGGGCATATAAGTGCATTATTATAATAGGGGCGTAGAAACATTAATTTAATGTTCTAAATAAAATGCTTTATGGAATAAAACAATTTTGATATCGGATTAATTTGATTTATTTGAGAATCCCAACCACTGCAATTAAACACAAAACTACATTGATTGATTTTGTTTAAAAGAATGCTTGCGCCTACAAAACTTGTGCTATTATTGGAGTATTTAGTTGAAACTCTTCCTCGTCTGACAATGAATCTTCTCAATGCTAATATGTAACTCTCAGTTAATAATCTGTTCACAAGTTCGAAGTGTACAGCTCGATATACTGCGGAAGTAAAGATCAAAATCCAAGACTTATCACCGTTCTTCAGGTGTAATGGACCAGTGTAGTTCATTTCTGTAATTTCAAAAACTAATGCATCTTTGACTCTATTTTCTAGTAACGGTGCAAATGGCGTTTCTATTGCTTTCTCACTGTGACGTCTGCAGATGTTGCATTTGGACACTATTTGTTTTACTGTTTTCCTTCCTCTTAGAATCCAAAACTCTTCTCTTAAAATGCATAATAAAGTTTGGACACCTGGTTGTGCCGAAGTTAAATGATTTTCAAACATAAGTTTTAAAACTATTTCATGATTATACGGCAATGAAACTGGATATCTAAACTGTTTTCTATCTTGTCCGAACAGAAGTTTAATCTTTACTCGGATCAGTCCATCGTTACCTTTTAAAACTTGTAGATATTGTTTTGGAGCCGAAAATTGCTATTTGGGAATTAAGAGCGAAACATGATACTTTGTCGCTTTCAAAAGCGGCAACGAGCTTTCTCTTTTTCTACGATCACACTTTTTTAAGAAATAGATATAAAAACATTTATCGTAAGTAGTGTATAATGTGTTGCATATACCTGCGTATATCATGCAAAAAGCAGTTGATACTCAAAGTCCATGTTAACTTGGATCGGCGAGCAACAAAGCTGTCACTTAATGTCAGTTCGCGAAAAACGTTAACTTTGCGGTTGGATTTCGAAGCACAAAAGCCTACTTTGGATAGTGATCGTAGAAAGATTGCTGCTGTTCTCTCATAACTGCATAGACACTTGAATACTTGAAGGATACTTATTCACTGTTTCCTACTTTTCTTACGATTTTATCTACTGACAATAAAGGCTATACTCCAATTTGATTTTTGTAAAAGTTAGTAATTACATTTTTTTCATTAATATTAAAATGCAGTTATTTTTGGTCTTTTTTTAAGTGGAGTGTTAAAACACAACTTAGCAGTTTCTTCAGCCGTATCAGTACTCGACACTTTAAAATCGTAAAGCTTTAAAACACCATATATTATATACTAAATATGTCAAAATATAACACGGATCGTTACGACATAATTGTTCAAACGAAATTGACCATGCTGACTCTGTAGTGATGCGCCAACAACGAATTCCGCAGGCGGATCGCAGTTAAATACGATTGGCCAACATGCTTAATTTAGCAAATAGATGCAAAACCACGCGGTGATCAAGCATTGATCGTTGTTTTGGTTGCCTTTTTTGTTGGCTGGACAAAAAGTAGTCCTTTTTGTCATGACCGTTTTGTGCTTAGAAATCAGGAAGTAGGGCTTATGATACTTAAACGTTTCATATGAAGATGAATGATAAATTGACAAAATTATTAACGTTCGGATATATTAAATATGAAAAATATTTTTTTACCTTTATGTTTAGCTTTAAATACTCTACCAAATCCGCCCCTGCCTAAAACATTAAAAAATTTTTCATCCTCAATACCGTTTTTGATTATTTTTTGTTTATTTGGCGTATTTATCAAAACATCATACTTTTGTAAATCCTTTTTTAGATCATCACTAATACTTGCTATTTTAATTTCTACAGATGCATTATTCCTTTGAGGTGATTTTGAAAAATCTATTCTTTTTGCAACACTGTGTTTTCTACGAAATAACAAAAAATAATCTTTATTATTTATTTACTAAAAATTAATAGACCTTACCTTTCATATTTATTTATAACTTCTCTATTAAAAACACTTAAAAAATTCGGGGATATTGGAGACAATATTCTAGGGGTAAGTAGTTTTGACATATTTTTTATTGGAGTACTCATATTTATCACAAAGTATTTCTAATATATTGAAAACAAATCATGCCTAAATTCACGTTGATAAATACCATTCATTTATCTTTACAACTTTTTTTGAATGTTTTTATAGTGCAGATGAATCTTTAAAAACATGTCAATTAACAGATAAGTACATTTTTACAGGGTGTTTTTAAATATAACTGTTAAATTTCTATTTAGTCTTAATAATGACTGGATGGAATAATTTATTTTTCTATAATGGGTTTTATAATAAATTATTAACAGAATTTGTTTCTTTATTAAAATAAATAAACTATTAATTACTTATTATTAAAATTATTATTCATCAATTAAAAATTGTTGTACACTAGATTTATATTGAGGTGGTAAGGTTTTGTCCAATTCTGTTCTGTCCAACCATTTGTAATCTATTCCTTTTAGAGAGGGCTGCCCTTTCAGGTACCTTGCAAAATAAATAAATATCTGGAAAAAGGAATATCATATTAAATTTCTTTAATTATTTTCATAGATACGATTGTTACCTTCGCACCCACAACATTTCTTTCTTGTTGAATATTGGCAGGATATTTGTACTTGTAGAAACCACATGGAGCATTACTGTAAATTTGGGTCTTCAACTCACTCCCTATGGTTTCTTTTAAAACCCTTTCTGCTACCTGTTAATATAATTTTTGGATCAATGCATATCAATTTTATTATTAAATAATTATTAGGCCAAAAAGTATTAGCTTTATGGTTGACTTTGATCACACTTCAATTATATTTATTTTAGACTTTCCTAGAAAAATTCCCGACATAAGCTATTAAACTAACCTGTCTTAAAGTTTCACCATCTTGCCTCAATCCTTGTGGTAGCATGTACAATTTTTTATCACCTAATTTCTGATTGACCACAAATATTAGATGTTTATCTAGTTTTCTATTCAATGATTTTAAATCATTTTTCTTATCAGCATCTAAATAAAAATGGGGGAAAATGTACGAAATCAACTTCGTGTAGATAAGGTAAAAGCTGTAGGTCTTTATTTTAGTTCATGATCTGTCTGGTTAAAAACTAGTGATCATTTTTGGTAGTCATTCTTTTTAAAAAGACTGTCATGTAAAAATAAATATATTTTTAATTTTAAGTGAAAGTATAAATAAGTCTAAATAATAATTGCTAGTATTTGACATATAAAGTTTAAAATTATTTAATTTTTTTTTTTTTATTACTGAAACGAAATTAGGCCAAACATTAGATCAGAAAGTAACCTATTAGATATCAGTAATTTATTAAATAATAAACCTAATATTTTAACATGTTTGCTTATGTTTTAACTTTCTATAGTACCTATTTAATTTAAAAATACATTGTATACCTACATTATTTAGTATTGGACAGATAGATGTATACATAAAAACCAAAAACAATATTAATTTTTTTTACAAAATGGTCAACTATGAGGGTATTATTTAGGTTAATTACTAAAGCTAAGCTTATTTCCAATGGAATAAAAAAAGACAGGCAAAAATATAGCCAAGAACATTTAACAAATGGCCCATTCATAAAGAAAAAATAATATATTACCTTTATAATAATAAAAAAATACTGAAGAAGGCACAAAACCCAAAAACTTTACAAAACATAAGATAAAAATGTAGTTTTATTTGAAATCAAAAACAGCAACTACACCCTAAAAAAGTCAAAAGAAAAATTTAAAAATTAGCTGTAAAAACCATAAATAAACAGGACAGGATGTTCCTAAAATGTATGTTAAAATCAAAAAGTTATTGCAACTGGCTGTTGAAAGTTCATTATCATAGGACCATTCGCACTGCTTCAGAACAAATTTCCCCTTACTAAAGTGAAACTTATTATTTAAGTATTACTTATTGTAGTTTAATTCACACCAGCCAATTATAAAGCAACAATTAATTGTCAGATTGATTTGGAAACGTCAAGATTTCTCTAGAAAAAGAAGAAATAATGTCCAATTTGAATTTTATTTTGAATGTTGAATAGGTGCAGAAGAGAAAATAAACTCTCTTTTGTACCACAAGGCTATTTAAAACAAATTAGATGAACCGAGAAGTAAAAAAATAGAGCACCAAGTGCAGTCATAATGAGAGTAAATGCAGTATTATTTCAATTAGTTAATATAAAAAAATTAAAGAAATCATACTATCTGATAGCAACTTTGAAAGATGAGGATTAGATAGAAATTAAAATTATTCAATACTACCAATAGTTTATTGCCAGTTTTACAGAAAATATTCCAGGAGTATAATTGTATTGTCTATAAAAATATTTTATTGTGAAACCTTCAATTTTATCAAGGAAATTGAGAAGTTTCTTCGGCCAACATAAATCTCAATGTAAAAGTAATAGTTTCTTGTATATTTTATATTCTTCATGGTATATTAATGAAATAAAGTATTTTACAAGCATCTCCATCTTCTATTATTTCCATTTTGTATATTGTGATTATTTACAAAAGTGTATTAGTACTTATTATAATGTCTGATTACCCGACTTCAAAAAATTCATCATATTTTTTTTTTTCATGTATGTTCAGCAATAATTTTTTAACATGGTGTCCGATTTAAATGATTATTTTTGTTAGAAAGGGGGTACTTCAGGGGTGGTCCCTTATAAATTTGGTCAATATCTAATAATTCTGCCTATTAGAAAATCCTCAAACTCTTCATTTTATATGTATGCTTAGCGGTAATTCTTTACCACTTTGTCCGAGTTCTATGATTCTTTTTTTATTAGTAAGGGAGTACCTGTACTTTTATAACTTGCTTGTATAACTACTGCTAATAAATCAATGACACAATGACAGTCAAAATCTTTCAAAATTTATAAAAATTAAACATTTTAAGGTTAAGTAATGGTTTAAGCTGAAACATTTCTGGGCTTAGTAAAGTGATTATTAACGCCTTTTTAAGCAGAACTTTAATAACTGCTAATGGTTATTCCTCCTTAAGTGACACTTAGATGCTAAGTAAAACTGGTGCGAATGGCCCATAAACTAAAAAATGCATGTTTCTTAAATAAATTCTAATTTTTATTCTTTTGTCAAACACTTAATCAAGTCCTAGTCAACAACTAACAATCCATTATCCCAAATACTCCTAGGTCAATAACTAAATCAGGTTGGTATTTTTGTATTTAAATCTATGAAATGTTAAGATACTTTTGTGATCAAAATTTCATTTTTTTATTAAATCCTAAATATACAAGGCTTTCATGTATTAAACAATATAAGAGTTCACATATTAAATGCAGCCAAATTAATCTGTAGGCATTCCTTATTATGTCAAAACCTACAGCTTTTATCTAATATGAGTTTCTTTAATAAATACTCGTCTTTTTTTATAAAAATCTCCTTAATTGCAATCGTATTTTACTTATATTTTAATATTAATTTATATTATGTATTTGAAAGCCATACAAGAATTTTTAACCTGTAATTTTATCTGCTGGTTTAAATTCTGCTGCTTCGGCATTCCACAAATCCTTCAGATCTTGGGCAGTTTGTTTCAAGTTAACCTCAGTGTCATCTATTTCACCACCTTCTTTTAGAACTGCCAAATGTTTGCTACAATCAAAAATTAAAGCAGGAACAAATAAAAATATAGGATTATTAAATAATGATCTTACACATCTGCTTCATGTCTCAATTCAAAATTCGATTTTACACTTAATTCAAATTCTAAATCTTTGAGATACTGTTTGTATTCTTTTTCAATTTCAGTTAGGGCTGGAGTCACCACAGGTTTCCTTTCTAAACATACCGCTGAAAACAAGTCCCATTTTTGATTTGTGGTATTTTGGGCTTGTGTTCTAACTGAAACTACATGTTTCAACTGATTACAACTTTGTTTCAATAGCTGGAAATGATTTTTTAACATTTTTTATCTCAAAATAAAAAACATTACAGAATTTAAAGTGAAAAGTGAGGTTATTTATTCTTTTTTTTATTCCGACAATATGGTCTTTTATTCTACTGTTTACCAGTAACTTAATATTTTAATACTAGGCAACCAATAATACATATCAAAGTTATGTGTATCACCTAGTTTCCTAGAAAATAAGCAACTTTTTAAATTTTGGCAAAAAAAAGTATCTTCTATTTAAAAAACATTTATTAAAACATATCCGCCCATACAGAATGTTGGCATGAAGGATATCGTTGGTTGCAGTCGTGATTTTTATTGGATGCTTTGTCATAGTCGTCCTCATCTGGATAATCATCGTGTGGTTTTATCCTGAAAACAAAATACGTCAAAAAAGAATCGTTTAAATTAAGTAATATTTGAAAATTACCTAAATATAGTTTTCATAAGTTCTTGAAACATAGTACCTTTTCCTTTAGGTATTTGACTAACTTCACATATAGCTTTTTTTAGACAAGCTTTGCCATCTTTACTTAATCTAAAAAAAGTTCAATAAATATTTAAAATCTATTGCTTCGATGATTTTAAACAAGAAAAATTGTTTTATCCGTAAGATTCTTTTCAGATTTTTTGGTGCATAACTAGTTCGTGAAACAACACGATACAATTACAACGGTATGTTCTTGCGCATGTTAGTTCTATCCTTGTCACACGATATGACGTCACATGGATTACAAATTTGAGGCATCTGCATTATAATAAATACAAGTAACGAAATCTGTTCGATAATATAGAGATATTGCAAATTTCTAACATCTGCCATTAATAGTGACAACACAATTAGAGGCAAATAAATTTCATGCTAAAATAAGATTTATTGCAAACCTGAAGTTTTGACATTAGAGTCCTTGTCTTACATATTTATAACCTCCTTTTAAGAACTTTAAATTATAGTTTATCTTTATTGTTGTCTATAATAGTACATAATATGGAAGAGGATTAGGCATAATCTTTAATAAAGTCAGTTCTAGAACTTCTGCGATCTGCGCATGCTCAGATGTCAAAATAAGAGCGGCACTAATTGTGACTGATTTAAGTGAACTTGCAATATCTTTCTATTTAAAACCTAACATTATTTTGTTGTATTTTTTTATATACTTATAGTTCAAACGCTACTACACTGGTCGTGGAGGAACTATCGAATCGAGTGTCTGGTCATGTGCCTGGCAGATAGCCTTTATTCAGCGGTGAGTATTAATATGGCAAAAGGCCTGCAATTTCCCGTTAACTTCATATCAATAGACTATTAATTGTCAATATATTTATGTTTAGACATTAAAGGGAAAATGGAGGCCTATTAACTGGATTTGATGGCTAAGTGTCACTTCGTATAGTGATCTATATATGCCACCTTTTAATTATAAAGGGCCACAGTTATTGGGCCTTCTATTCACCTAAACAAAATGTTTGTTGGGTTTTGTTTATTTATTGCAACTAAAACTAAAATAAGACTTATGCGATAAAGTACATTGAACAAAAGATGCTTATTTTAAAGAAATGCATTCTTACATAATTATGTAACAAATATCGACAAACAATAATGTCTGCAATATGTATAATTTGAAATCAAATATTCCAGTAAAACTATTGTATAGTAACGATACATACAGTACGTTAACTTTCCAATCCTAACTCCAGAATACGACATAGAAAACGATTATATAAATAAAAATAGAACAATAAACGCTACCCCGCTACAGGTAGATAGTCGACTGCGGAGTGCGGACTGCAGTATCCTCATCATGCCATCAAAAGGGTGTAGTTAAACTAGTTACTCTATAAATACAATTAAGCGTCTCATCTATATTTTGCTTGATGCGTTGGTTACGTACTGTTGTACAAAAAGTAATTAACGTATCTTGCTAATATTTTGCAGCAGGCTTGGATACTACAAATAGGACAAAAAAGAAACAAAGATGTTTTTATAATTTACCTTTCTCAAATGAATATTTTTTTTTAATTAATAAAGTTAACACTATGCAGTTTTAACGATTGTATTATAGATTTAACAGAGTACAAAACTTTGAAAAATAGCTATTGTCTACGATCAATATCCAAAGTAGGTTTTTGCGCTTCGAAATCCAACCGCAAAGTTGACGTTTTCCGCGAACTGACATTAAGTGACAGCATTGTCGTTCGCCAAGCGACAAAGTTGACAGCTTTGTTGCTCACCTAATTTAAATTAGCTATAATATTTTTTTTATAAATGATTTTCACTACAGCACGTGTTGAGACGCCTATCTTTGTTCCACGGAATGCGATTCTTAGGTATAATGTCTCTCTTTCTATTCGATTCGTTACGTGTTGAGTTCGCACGTAGGAATCCCTGTCACGTTGATTGACTTTTTTCACAGTTTCAACTCTTTTTAAAATATGGCACCAAAACAGTACATAGTACCTAAAAAAATCCACCACAGGTCGGTAGAAAGTGAGGTACGGCAATTGAAACCTAATAATGACTGCGAACTATCAGAAAAATTCAGTTAATTTTATCTTTATCAAGTGAAAAATACGTCTGTATCCAATTTTTTTTTTAAATAATGGTAATTTATTTATGTCTACTAATCATACGAACGAAATGAAAAGTGAAAACAACGAGAAGAAAAATATTACCACATATCTATAATAATAACCACCCATATATTTCGTCAAAACAAAGTGAGGGACTAGAGTCATAACTTGATTTACTGGATATTTGAGATTGGCGGAATGAAAATGTTTTTATATCATTTACAGGGCCGACTAGAGGGGGGGGGGGGGGCAGCTGGGACTAATTCCCGGGGCCGGGACTCAAATGGGGGCCTGGCAGCGGTAGTAAGAATTTTTTGTTACTTTCAGAAGTTCGACTCACGAGGGGGGAAGTTCTTAGTTGAAGACTTTTTTTCAAGGAGAAATTTGTAATTTGTGTTTGAAGACCTTTGTATAGAGGAGGAGAAATTTACCTTTTTTTTTTTAATTTTTTATAAAATTGTCGCGGGGCCCCATGTGGAGAATTGTCCTGGGGCCCGGTCTGGCTCTCGGCGGCCCTGATCATTTAAATGGAGATATTAAAAACATGGCATTTACTGTCACCAAAACTGACTGAGAGTTATGAAGACTATACTGAGAGTATAGCTCGAGTTTGACACGTGACGTAAAAATGTAATGTAAAGGTGCGGACCAAAGACTAAAAACTACGAATACTTTTAGTATCATCATAGCATCTCCTCTTTATTCTCTCACAATGGACATAGCCGTGTAAGCGTATCGTAGTGAAACAAGTAAATATTCCTACAACTGTTAATAATTATCAATGGCAGAGTTAAATCTGTTAACTTTGCTTAATAATGTGTTTTCATCATTTTTCAACAGTTTTCAATTTCCAGCAGCTTACTCAATAATCAAACCTGTTCAGACTGGAAAATGTAAATTTTTGAATTGAAATAGTATCTACTTCATTAAAAGAGCGATATACATATCGCCGTTCCGGTAAAACAATGACGCAAGTGCAAAATTGTGACATTTTGATTTTAACATGTCATTAGTTTCCAAATGAGTCTCTCTATACGGTATAACAACGGCAAAATTTTTTATCCACTCCCGGCCATCTAAATGATAGTTACTTCAATTTTCAAATATTAATGTTTGCCCCCCCACTTTTGAAAAACAATGACATATGAATCAGTTGTGTCTGCAAATTTAAGGGAGACATTACTTAGTCTATGGTTAAATGTTGTATTTGCTATTTAGGACAAGTTCTTTGTGATTTATGTGCTCAAATTTGGAAGTAATAATATTCGTTTTTCGTCTCTCCTGAAAAATTTATAATTTTGCATTTGCGTCGTTGTTTTACCGGTACAGCGATATATACGTCTACAAATGGGAGAGATGCTGGTGGTACTCTAAAAAGTAATCGCATAGTGTTTCAAGAATTTCGGGTAAACGCCAAAAACTTTGAATTGAAGATACTGCTAAAGAGTAGAAGTACTATCATACAGAATGGTTGCGACAGACATCAGAGTGAATATATAGTGAGTATATAGTTACACAAGTTAATAATGTTTTTTAAAATATCTAATATAAGCTCCTGCCTTGAAGTAAAAATTCAGGTAATTATTTTTTTACTATATTTAAATTTGGTTTTAAAACAAATTTTTTGCTAAACCGATTCTGATTAATGAGACAGTAGGGCCGCTCGCAATGCTACCCGCTTTGAGCGATCTAGTCATTTGGACAGGTCGTTGGAATGCTTAATATGGTTTAAATAATTTTTTCAACTTACGCAGTAAGAAGTTTTTCCAATTTTCCATAAAGCTCTCTTCTTGTTCTTCTATGAACATGGTGGAATACAGGATGAATGTAAGAATCATCTATATCATTGTCATTTATATAATCGTTCTGAGAATAATTCCTAAAAAAAAAGGAAATATAATTGTGTGTATTTTTTTTGATAAATTAATCAATTAGAAGTCATCATTAGGATTCTATAAAAGATTTTGGCTCTGTCATGAAAAAGCGCGTATCAAAATAACGTCCAACGAAATAGCGCCCAACGAAATAGCACCTACTCAAAACAATGCGTATAGAAACATCGCCTGAACCATGGTGGAAAAATACAGGTGAAGCGGTTAGCGGTACGAAATTCGGCCAGTCTTGCGCATGACGTCACTTTCGAAGCAAATTTTTATTATGCCTATGTCTTAAATGTTAAAAAGCGACTTTTTTAGTTATTTTAATATCTTCCTGATAGTGCTTAGAACTTTATAGATATATTTATTTTATTATTTTTATTTAATATTATTTCTATATACCGAGAGGTCTTTTAGTAATTATTGGTACGTATTTTTCAATTAATTTCTAATTAAATTGATAGTGTAATTTATATAAAATTAGGTTATGTGCCCTTTTTTTAAGATTAAAAAAATAGTTTATAATTATTTTATTAATATATTTATTTTTGGTACATTAAAATCTACTATTTTAGGGAGTGTAGTTACTAGCAAAACGCCAGGTTGTGCAGTATTTGACTACAGGAACTATCCTAGACGTAACATCCTCTTCATGTTTTGTGGTGGAAGAATTCAGTTTCAGATGAACACTATCTTGTTAATCCCTAAGATAAATGCTTACCAACTGATGTAACTTAAATATATTACGCTAAATTGGAAATAAATTACCTAGTTTTTGAATATAAAAGAGCACAAAATAAATTTTTATTTAGCATTTCTTTTGCACAAGGGTCCAATATCTGCCTATAGTGAGTTTTCTTATAATTTTCTTGTATTATTGCGCATAACTTATGTGTGATTTATCAGTTATTTTAATTTAAATATATATAATTTCAGTTTTATAATGATCATAGAACTAGGAAATTAAAGAGTAGCATCTTGACAATCATTACAGTGTTGCCAGGTCATAATATTTTTTTCAGTATACTGCCTGTCTAAAATTCAGTAGATATCAGTAGGCAAATGAGATACCTAATTACCATATTTGTACGAATTTTACACTGTTTTTACTCGTTAGAATGTTAGACTATAAAATTAGCAACCAAATCATATTAACAATAGAAAATCAAACAGCAATAAGTACTATTTAAAAAATAGTTAAATAAGAAATGGAACTTCATTGCGAAAATAAAAAATAAATAATACACATTCAAAAATAAAATAACCCAAACAATAAACACTTACACACAAAAAATATATTCTAATCGAAACCGGAGTCAGAATCAGCAACTCATTATCATTTTTTTTGTACATGCTATTATTATTAAGCACTAGAAGATCTTCTAAAAACTTTACAGTATGGCAATTAGCAGTAAGTAAGTTTTTACAGGTAAATTGTCAACAATACTCGCCGTGGAAAGCTTATTTCTTTGATTGATTGTACTGTAAAACACCATCAGCCAGAAAACCACAACAATTTTTATATATAACATATCACCGCGTACACTGCATGGTATGTAACTATGTAACTCGAAACACAGGCAATGAACGCCGATGATTCCCTAAAAATTCCCAGGAAAGTTATAAAACAACACAGCTTGCTGTGATTTTTTATGACTTTTGATTTTTTTTTTTAATTATATTGTGATTATAATTTGAAAAAAATTTCAAAAAACGGACAAAAAATAATAATGATAACGGCTTTTGTCAGTATAATCCCAGTATAAAGAACAATACAGTAGCGACAGATTGCGTCGGCTTCTTTGATGTCGGGGTGGTCAGATTTTCAATGACAGTTGACGTTTTTGTCGCTTATTTCTACACGGAGAAAAGTAAACTCTAAAATTGCAAATTATCGATGTACACTTAGAAAAAAATTAAAACATGTACATATAACATTTTAATGTATTCTAGGCAAATAAATTAATCAAAATATTGTGTAACCTAAATAAATGAGTTCCGGTGAAAATCTAGATGTGCCAATTTTAAAATGTTATCATTAGATTAAAATAAATTACTTTTGTATGTCATTCATTGTATGAAATGTGTTAAACATTTTTTGGTTTCTTCCTGGAACTAATAAATTAACTCAGCACCTTATTTTTTTATTTAAAATGAGGTTATGTAGGTATCTTTTTAGAAGTGAAACAACATATAACAATAATATTTATTAAAACACACAATTACAAATTAGTAAGTTTTTAATTTACAATACAAGAATTATTTTATTTCAATTTTTGTTCCTACGTACAACTTTTTGACTTCAGATGAGTTTTAGTAAATGCCTGTTGTAAGTCACCCGTTAAGCACAATGCTGCCCAATTGCTTATATTACCTATGTATATAATTAAATACTATTAACGTCACATCATAAAAATTAGATGTTTATATTTAACGATTTTATGGTTTAAAATTTGTATGGGAAAGGTTATCTGCTCCGGGATTTAAATATTTAATGGCTAGAAGAATCAACAGTGACTGTCTAGAAAAATTTGTTGGGTCCATTAGGCAACAGGGTGGGAATTTAATTAATCCAACACCTGTACAATTCGAAAGGGCATTTAAAAAACTTTTTTGTCAAAATTATCTTCATTGTAATTCCATGAATTGTAATGAAGACCTGGACAAGCACTTGCTACAATTAGATGTAAAAAATATTGTCTCTGTATCCTGAAATAAATAAAAACACTCCAGAAGCTGTTTTTCTTCCTAATTACAGCCACAGGACAGAAGATATAATAGTTCAAAATCCATTTAAATATGTTTGTGGCTATTTGATCAAAAAAGCTTTAGGCATACATGGATGTGATACATTTATTAAATTTTCAAAAGAATGTGGAGATTTGGATAGATTTTAACATATGATTGCAAATAAAGCACTTATGGAGGCCTAAAACTTCCAAATGAAAAGTTTATTATCTATATATTTAAATTATAAAAAAATGTTATATCTATTTTTAGCAATACCTGTGTAATGTCTGGTATATCGCATAGCTTTTTTTGATATTATGAAAGAAATAGAATTTAATCATCCTTGTTCTAATTTCCCTAACGTATATATCATACAACTGTTTATAAGATTATATATTATTGTTTAAGTGCTTAAATATTGTATAAATGAAACAAATCAAAAATTAAAAAACAGTTAAAATAATAACACCACAAAATACATTTTTTTGTTTTCTTTTTGCTACTTTACAAGAAATACATATATATTTTGATTAGATGTAGTCAATCAGAACATTTTTAATCAATGGACATAGTAAATCAAAGAACATCTAATTCATTATAATAATTTGGAGGTAGGATTTTTGATTAAGAATGTCCAAAGGTTGCACATGGTACGCTTTCAAAAATGTCTTGTTCATGTTCAATGATAGTCTCAACAGAGGAAGCACTTGGTCGATGTACTAGGGAGAAGATAGACATTTGGCTGATGACCTAGATGGATAAAACATGTGGGAACAGCAGTAGGCAATAAACGTTTACGGTTCAACGTTTTAGAAAAACAATTCTTCTCAAAATGTTTCTTACACAACCTGTAATTCCGATGAAGACTGTTCACATCTATGTTACTCAAATCTTCCCTATTACAAGCTCTTAACCACATGTTGGCCCTAAAATATAAAAAAGTTGATAACAAATGTTTAGATTGACGGTAGTTCAGAAATTATATATTTTTTACATTATTTTTGTTGAAATTGTAAAAATTGTCCTCAAGACATTTAAATAATAAATTTTGGTTGTCAAATAAATATTTGGTTTTCAAATATAAAAATTGAAAGTATTTTCTTAAGACATACCATTCTGGCTCCATGGGAAATGCAAAATAACTTGTCCCTTTGTCTGTTTACTCTGTTTGAGATGGACAAGGGCGATAGATACATCTCTTTCTTTTCTGATCAGGTGCAGCAGCCATTTCAAAAATATCACACAATAAATGAAAAACTAAAATAATAAAAATAATGACATATTTACATTTACATCGCATTGACACTATTGACGTTGACGTTTTTGTCGCTTATTTTCGGACATGCGCAGAAAAATATGGACCCCTCATAAAAAATGATCTGTCGCTACTGTATTGTTCTTTATACTGGGGTATAATTCACATTGATATCAGTAGACCAATGGTCAAATCAGTAGACATGGCAACACTAATTACAAAATATAAACAAAGCCATGGCAGTCTATAAGCGGCTGTGACAATACCGATGTTGACGTCATAGAACCTGCGCACCGCTTAATCTATATTCTTACAGCATGGCCTGAACAAAATAGCGTTTATTAAAACACCGCTAGTCAACAGAGCTCCCGAACGAAACACGTACGGTCTGGAGCCATCGCGAGTTGCTTCGCAAAAAAAATATATTAATAAAATGAGAAAATAAAAAAACTAGGCAATTAGATAACCCAAACTGGGCGTGAGCGATCGGTTAAATTTAAATGGCCCCAGGCTGCACAGGTTAGGTAAATTCGTTAGTTTTTAAAATTTTCTTATTTTATGTATATTTTTTTTGCGAAGCACCCCAAGATTGCTCCAAACAAGGGAGGCTTCAGGGGGCAGGGGGCCATTGAGAGTTGTACCATGGCCGTCGCTACTATTAATTTATTTTATAGATTATTAAATATAAAGGCTTGCTTTTTAAGGATATTTCGTCGCGAAAATTGCCGACCAAGTTCGTCAACTAATGCGTTCAGGAAGTTCGCCGTATTCTTAAAGAATATTCTCTTTGGTTTAAGCTCTCAACCCGTACTATTTTCTAATAATCCTTACCTGCTACCTTTGCTATAAGTTGATTTCGTTTTCGAAGTATTAAATTGAATTTTCGACATACTGTCGGGATATCCGTCGCTGGCGTATTTGAAATTTTCTTTCAAACGGAAAGGATCGTAATAGGACATGACAGGTGCCGGATATTTGTTGTTTTTGTATGTCCACTCGTCGGAAAAATGTGATGATCCGACCCTTTGAGAAGGGTTATATCGATGATGGTCTTCGTCGTCATGGTGAAGCTAACAGAAAATAAAAATGTATATACGATTATTTGTTTTATTCTCAATATTTACGAAGAAAATATTGGGTAATATTCGAGGCTTGTTCAATTGAAACTTTTATTATATTATACAATTAAAAATAATCATATTATGCATTATGTGATAAATATATTTCCAAAATATTGATTTAAAATAAGTGATTTGAAGACACGAGGTGTGTATAAATCTACAGAACATATAGAAGGCTGATACATATTAACACATCACCTTATTTTTTATCCCTATCGTGAACAAAAAACGAAAAAGTATGTCTTTGCGTTCAACTACACGAATATATTTCATATCCCTAGGCAGTGAGAACACTGCAACTCAGTGACTCATGCAAAATTTCTTAGTGAAGGATATGTTAGTATTGGATGGGCTCCAACATGTAGGATATTTGACTATGTGCGCGAATATAGGTGTTTTAATTGTGGCAGTTATGATCATAAAGCCATTGATTGTAAATCCAAATTATGTCTAAAGTGCGGTGCAAATGATCATGTTATAGAAAATTGTACATCTGTTCCTTTTAAATGTATCAACTGTGTGGAAGCTAATGATAAATTAGACTGTAATTTCAATATTGATCACTCTGTTTTCGATGTCAAAATCAGTAACATTAGCTGTTTATCATAAAAATGTGCAAAGTATATCAAACAAAATCGATGTTCTGAACATTGAGTAGTTTAAACATAATGTAGATATTTTTTGTATGTTTGAACATTGGCTAAAAGAAGCACATGAAGAAATAATCAGCATTGAAGGTGACAAGCTTGTCTCTTTATATTTAAGAAATGCCAAAAAATGTGGGCGATTTTTTACAGAAATGGATTGTTAAAAAATGTTAAAGAAATAACCAAAATAATACAATTTGAGGTTTGTGGAATTGAATTGTCGTTAGACAACGAGATAATAGATATTTATTGCATTTACGGTAATCCTCTAAATTCTAATAAAATAATTTCAAATTTTAATTTATTTCTTGCAGAAATTTGCGCCGGCCATGATAATAGCAAACAATGGCACAAGTTTTTATTCTGTGGCGATCTAAATATTAACTACCTAGAATTACTTATGTGTTTGAGTTTTTTGGTACGTTCAACCCAGAGATCATGAGGAGATGTAACTTCTAACAAATATCGTGCGGTCCTGAATAAGAAATATTCTAAGGGACACGGGCGGGTATAATAACCGCTGTTGTCATATGTATATTTCATTATTCTCGTTTTGTTTACAAAATTGTTTACATATATTAAAAAAGCTAAAATAATTCAAGCTATTTTATTGCAACTAAACCCAAAAAAAATTGAATCATTAGTTATATTAAATTTAACTAAATTATGTGTAATTTCACTAAATTAGATGTAATAATTTTCAATAAATTCCAAAACCTACTTATGTTAGGTTAGAAGTGGCAACAGGGCTTACACCGGCATGGATATTTACGTTGTTTATTATAAGCGCACAGCGTCTTACACATTTATTCATTGATAAAAATAAGTTGTATCTGCGTAAAATTATTCTCTTTATCTCTTCTCTTACTTCTCACCTTTCGTCGTCTCGCCCCGCGTCTATAAATAGAGTGTATCGATTGTCGAATTAATGTTGACATCGTGAATATTATATTTTATCAATGAATGATTATATCTCTGTTACCTCTGGTTCAACCATATAAATAGAACACGTATATCAAAAATAGCAGTTGATTATATATGTAGTAATTTTATTGTGAATATATTTGCTGATATTAGTTTTAATGACTTATTGGCTCACTCTTGTCAAGTGCTGAGATATGAAATTATTTTTCCAACTATTGTAGAAATTAATAACATTAATTATCTCAGAGTATTCAATGACACCAATTATCAGGGATTTTATAATCATTTAAATAATGAATCATGGAAGGATAATCATGGTTTTGAGTCCTTTGTTAATACCTACAAATATTATATAGATATATAATTTCTATTTAAAAACGTAAAACCAAATCAATACAATTTAAAACCATGGCTTCTCAAAGGTTGAAAGAACTACACCATTTAATGTGTTTAACAAATGACCAAGCAGATGTTCATTACTATAAGAATTATAAAAAATATACAAAAAAGTTGTAAAAGCCGCGAAAAATTCAAAATTATAGAATTTAAAATAATTCAGCTAATAAAAGTAAATGCGTTTGGAACCTAATAAATAAAAATACAAATAATAAGACAAATACCTCTAATGCTATACATTCAGTAGTCGTAAATAATGATGTAGTGATAAACCAAAAAATAATTGCGAACACTTTTAATTATTTTTTTGTTAATATTCCACATGACTTAACGATTAAAAATAATATCCATCAAAAGGACTATGAGTTTAAACAAAAAAGAAAAGATCTATGATACCATATTCGTTTATCCTTTATCAAACACAGAAGTGTTTAATATTAAGTCTCAAAAAGTCTAGTTCATTAGGTTTGGATCATATTAGTAGTAAAATATTAGTCTTGGCAGTAAACTATTTAGTATATCCTCTTACTTTTTTATTTAATTTGTCATTAGTTAATGGATTATTCCCTGATATATTTAAGACGGCAAGAATTGTACCGATATTTAAAAAGGGGAAAAAAACTAATGTCCAGAACTATCGTCCAGTTGCAATTCTTAGTTCAATCTCAAATCATTAGAAAAAGTTATTTATTCTAGAATTATGCAATATTTAGATTCTAACAAAACACTTGTAAATAAGCAACATGGTTTTAGGAAAACGAAAAGTACACAAACAGCTTTAGTACAATTTACAAATAGAGTATATAACACGTTAGCTAACGGATACAAGTGCATAGACCTGTTCATAGACTTTAGCAAAGCTTTCGATTTAGTCTACAAAATCTTAGAACACAAATTATACAACTATGGTCTGCGTGGAAAATTAAGCGATTGGTTGATGTCTTACCTGGACAATAGACAATATTAATGGTATATTATCAAACATTTTAGACACATCAATAGGTGTTCCTCAAGGGTCCATTTTAGGCCCTTTGCTTTTCCTAATATATTTTAACGATCTTCCGGAAATTCATAATTTTGGCGATGATCTTACAATATATGCGGGTGATAATAATTATTTATGCACTGATGATACATTAGATAATTGTCTAGTTAAACTACAATATATGATTAACAAATTTAAAAAATGGCTTTCGTTAAATAAGTTATGTATGAATACTGAGAAAACAACATTTTTTTCATTTTACATCTCGGCCGATAACTGATGAATGCCATTTACTAAAAATAAATGGCAAATCCATACAACAGAGCCAGAACGCATTTTTTTTGGGAATTCATATTGACGCTTCGCTAACATGGATGCAACATATAGATGAAACGTGTAAAAAAGTGTGTTCCTCTTGTTATGCCTTGATACGTCTTAAACAATTATGCAATGAAAAAATCTATTTTCCTACTATTATGGTTTGGTATACTCCCAAATTAAATAAAATCATCGCCCCATTTAATTAGACTTTTCAGACTTCAAAAAGCTTTTTTCCTTTTTTCATTCCATTCGGGGACACCATGAAGGTGTTGAATTTACAGTTTAAAAACAACAGCTGTAAACAGTGTCGTCACAATGTCGTAAGTTAAACATTTATAATATAGTCAACTATTAAATAAATAAAAATCTTACCGGCAAAGTTGTTGTTTCTGGAGCTTCCGTGGCAGTCGTAATTTTCTTTTTCCCAAGGGACTCCAGCAATTCTTCTGGTTCAGATGGTAATTCCCAAGCAAGAGCAGCGGTTATACCAAAAGTATAGATAGCACCTACACCCACGGATGGCATTGTGAGACAATATACTAAACAGAATAGATATAGGTATTAAAAATAATTTCCTACTTCCAAATGGAGACCATTTTATTTCAGGAAAACTAAACTATTATAAAAAATGTTAAGTGATAAAGGTATTCTAACTAACAGAGGGAAAGGGTAGTTTTTTAGAATTACTTATAGGTACACCATTTTTACTGCTAAAAACCATCGAGATAGAATGAAGTAGAGATGACATAAACACTATTTTGCGATATGACAGATGGACGCACTTCGAGTGATAGAAAAGTGTTAGCAAAATGGCGACTAGAGTCGTACTTTGATTTATTTGAAGTCAATAATTTTATATTTTTGAAGACTGACGTAATTAAAATGTTTTTATATCATTTAGATGAAGATATTTTAAAAAAATTGCATTTTTTATCTCCAAAACTGAATAGATCCACTAGCTCGAGTTTGACATATGACGTGTAATACGAAGGAGTTATACTCTGTTAGCTTCGTCACAACATATCCTCTTTATTCTATCTCAATGGCTAAAAACCAATAGTCATATACACGTTACTAGTTTCCGGTGTTCCTTTTTTGGGGGAAATGTCCAATAGGTATTGCTATTGATTTTTAAGTTTAATATCTAAATAGTGCGCAATGCATTCAATTTTTTGCAAACATTAAAACGAATTTTAAAGATTGGGTTTCTTTTTAAATAAAAATCTATCTAGAAAAAAATAAGTTTTAAATGTATCTCTGTAAATAAGATCATTAAGAATAAAAAAGCGTTACTACTGGAAGAATAACGTTTTAAGAAGTTCGAAGCTAATGTTTTTTTCTACGCAATATAAATAAAAAATATACGTAAAAACTTTTATACTGACCAAGTTGCAGAGAACTTCCCGAAGGGAATGTCAGATAGCGCCGTTTTCTAGACAAACTTGTCGGTAGTCGATATGAGTGATTTATACGGTTCCCCATTTCTTCTTCCAAACTTTCTTTGGAATGATTTACGATGATCATCAGCAAAATAAATGTCATAATTTTCTTAAACATGTTATTGAAAGTGTTTCCTACAAAAAAAAACAGATACGATTAATGAGATGTTTTCATTTTTAGACGATCCTCTTAAATATTGACAGGCACGGGCCCAACTCCAATCTAGATATGATTAGTTTTTGTTTAAGAGGATATTGAAGTTGCAAATTGTCCATTTATTAATAATAAGAAACCGCTTTTGAACAAAGTACTTTGATTATAGGCCTAATCCAGTTTCATTTAACAAAATTTTACACCAAATATCTATGTAGGGCTAGCAGATGGCAAAGAAACTGATTACTACATTTGGAAGACAACTAAAAAGATAAAAAACCTGTTTACCCACTGGCCTCATATCAAAATAGTAGATAACAAATAGGCAAAAAATAATCAACAGAAATCTGATCACCTACAAAATACGCTGCAATTAGAAGAAAATCATTAGGCCCATTGTGCATCCTTCTAAGATGATAGGCACCTCCTAGCTCGTGAGCCAGCCTACAGATTTAATGTAGTTTTCAACGTCGCCAAGAGGTGCTTCTCTTATATCGGCCGGTGTTCGCCGATACTCGTCAAACACAAATCTTCTAATAAATGAGAGCGTTGAGCAATCGTAAAGGATATGCTCGATGTCTCATCTTCTTGTTCGTACCCTCTGCAGAGTGCAGATTCTGACAGCCCTATGATATGGAGATGCTTCCGTACTTGGCAATGACCAGTCAGAATGCCTGTAACTAGGCGCACATTCTGTCTAATCATAGTCAAGTATTTGCTTGCTGCAGTGTTGTCAATATAACTTAAGAGCTCCCTGGCAACGCTGCAGTTTCTTGTTTCATCCCATCTTTCCTTGAATGTCACAAGGGAATGTTCTTTAATTAGGTCTGTCACTACCGATTTTGTCAGGCCAATAGAAGGGCCAGGTCCAAAAATTATATGGTTGGCTGCTTTCTTGGCTAGTGAATCAGCAAGACGGTTACCTTTCGATGTGGCGTGACCTTTGACCCATCTTAAGGTGACCACATTGCTGATGGATAATTCGGCCAAAGCTTCGTGACATTCTAGTACTAACCCTGAGTAAATTCGTGGTCTGTTCAGGGCGAGTAGTGCTTGCCTGCTATCTGGCTATCTGGCTCTATTGCTCGCAGCTCATTTTATGTTTAGATTTAAGAATATGGAGTATATTCCACATCCTGAGTCTTGTTTTGTTTTAGAACCGTCGGCGTAGATATGAATCGTACCTGCCAGTTCTGACTCTTCTATTTTTTCTATTATAACTTTATATGGCTTATGGAAGATATATCTCGGTGAGATGTAGTCCATGTTTGCTTGAAGCAGTGGGAGCGTATTGAGCGCCTCCTGCCAAAAGTGATGTCTCGCCTTACCAGATCCTACATCAGGTTCTATTTCAACCGTGCGGAGGCATGTTATTGTCGTCAGAACAACCCCCTTTGATGTAAATATCAAGGAGAGTGAGACTAAGAATGACTTCCATGGCTCTGGTCGGTGTTGTTTTCATGGCTCCTGTTATGTTGAGACATGCTGTTCTTTGAATTTGTTCTAGTTTACGGATAGCTGTTAATTTTTGAGTTTTCGGTACCCAGACAACTGCACCGTATGTTAGCATAGGTCTTATAATAGCTGTGTAAGTCCGTGCGACGACTCTGGGGGAGAAACCTCAGGTGCGCCCCACGGTTCGGCGGCATTGTTCATATGAAATTTATACTATTTTAACTCTGTTTTCTAAGTTCGAGTTCCATGTTAACTGCTGTCAAAGGTGAGACCTAGGTACTTCACCTCTGTTGCAAAGTTTAGTTATGTGTTTAGGAATTCTGGAGGTTTTAATTCCATTTTCATCCTTTTTCTTGTGAAAAGGACTATTTCTGTCTTCTTAGGATTGATAGACAGTGAATGGTCCTTGCACCACTGTTCTATAATTTTTAGAGCTACTTGCATTCCTTCGCAGAATATGTTCTCAAAAATTCCCTGTTTGCAGAATGACCAGGACATCTGCATATGCTATTGTGTAGTGACTGTCATTATTGAGGCGGCTATAGAGGTGATAGCATCCCTTCCTGTGGACATCCCCTCGTAACCAAGCCTCTTATATTCACATCTTCTACCCGCTTTGAGAGCATGTTATGTATCCACCCACTAACCATTTGTGGAACATTCCTGTTGGTTAGTGAGTGTATTGTCTTTGGGAAGGTGGTTTTATCAAAAGCACCTTCATGTCTATGAAAACACCCAAGGCGGAAGAAGCCATTTGGACTCGTGCAGTGAAAGTTAATGTTAGTGCTAGTATAAACCAGTGTAATAAACCAATGCGCCCACTTCTGATACTTTCCTATAAATAAGTAAGACATTCCAATGGGGACATCTTAAATAAGTAATTAGTTCGCGTAAGTTCATGTTTTTGAGATTAGGTTCACAAATGTATACCTTTCCATCTGGTGCCCATGTTGGCACGAGATTTTTGTCACATTTTTTTCACAACATTTGCCGCGTTTGAGAATCCACATCGGATGCATCTGAGATGTAAAAAATCTTTGATCACGTTATTCAGAAGACGTAAATGTAATGGGACAGATGTGTCCGATGTGAATAAAAAAACGCTCTAGATGTAACAAATGCATCCGATGTGGATTCTCAAACGCAGCAATTAACAAAATATTTATTAGTGGTCTATTGCCACGGAAAGATAAATATTTTAACAAATTGACTTACCTTATTTGGATGAATATAAATAATAAATAACAAAACAGTTCTTTTGCAACAAAAACTCGAAAATGTAAATTATGATCGCACTAGAATGTACCCGAGAAATGATAATTTCTGAAAAGGAAGGCCACTAATTATTTTACCGTTCTAGTAAGTTACCTAATTTGATTTCGTTTACTTTAGCATTTATTTTTGTTTGGTTTTTTGATTTACAAGATCAGTGAACCTAATTTGACTAGTACAATTAGTGCGTACGGCATAAGGAAATTTATAAAAAGTATTTTAACTGGAAATAATAACGGTAAACTACAGGGAGTTAGCTAGGAATTTACCTACACAATTTTAAATTTATTATGGTTTAGCAACATTGAAGGCCAGGAATTAAACAATTTTATTAGAACCGGTGTATTCTACGGGAAGAAGGTATGTATTTACATATTTATGTAATTTAAAACTATTAGCTCTCAGCAGTGTAAGCGTAAGCCACTGTCAAGTCTAATTAAAAATATCAAGCTAGACAGCATATGATCTAAGTAGCAGAATGCCACAATATATCTGAAAAATTCGCGGTGGATAAGGACAAATATTGTCCAACTCCTTTTAAAACTTATTTAATCTACCCATGAAATTATGGTGCCGTAGAATGGGGTGAATCGGATCAATTTTGAATTTTGTGAAGCTATAAATCTCTAGGGTTTAGTGCTAAAAATTATCCGATTGCGTATAAATATGAGTTAAGACTAGTACTATCATCTTACTATGTTAAACTTTATACAGGTTGATTCTCTTAGATGATATATTTTTTTTGTTCCCTGATCCTATTCACCCCATACCTGGGGTGAAAAGAATCGGTCATATTATTTTTACTCTGATCGCTTTTGCCGGACTACTGGGGTGAATAGAATCAATATTTATTGTTTTAAAAAATATATTTTATTAACTAAAGGACTAAATACCCTACGTGAGGCAAATAGAAGTTAAATTAGAAAATAAACTTTTTAATTCTTAAAAAACCTAAAACTAACAGGAACTTAATTAAAAAACAAAATAAACAATTCTTTGTCAAAATAATAAAAAACAAAAAGTACTTTTCTTTGGTATAAACGTATATAAGTATCAAAAAAAAATATATAAAAATAACCAACTTCAAAAATCGTAAAAATAGGAAAAAATAAAAAACGCTTTAAAACTCGAGAAAGTTTACGGAAAATTTAAAATATCCCCGCAAATATTTTACGGGTGGCTCCACTTTTCCCACAACTTGATCGAATGGAAACTCTGAAATTTCTTCTTTATCAGGAAATTGAAAAACGTTTCCCAAAAAATCCCTCGTGTGTTTTTCGCGAAGAAAATTTCCGTAAAATTCTGTTTCAGTCTTCCGTACAACTTGGCATAAATAAAAACGTAAACCAGGAGAGGATGAACTGGCCTTCCTTGTTTCTGTAGGAAAACTCACGAGAAGCCAATCCTTGAAGCCAATCTTTGAGCTTTTAAAAAGGCTCCAGAGTTAGAGTCATTAGGTTCTTTCGTTCGTCCCACTGGTGTAGTTGGGTGTAGTAATGAACTACACCAACCCACACCCATACCTTTCGTTTGGTCCGGTGTAAAACCCACTATACCTTCCTGTCGGCGATGTGGTGTACACTGGTGGATATTTTCTCCACCAGCTATTTAGCAGGAGTGAATTACACTCGACGATGTGTATAAGGAATAAGGAGGAAGTAAATTAGGGTAAATAAGGTGGTGTAACTGGTGTAATTTACACTGGTGGACACTGCACCAACAGCGAACGAAAGAACCTATATTTTTCGTAATGTTTAGAACGGGGATTACGTTTGTAAACTCGTGGCATCGCTGTTTTTGGCGGGCGTTCGGCGATCCGATTCACCCCACAACCTTCGGCAACAGGTGGTTATCAGATTCAATCTAGGATTAAAAAAAACTGTAAACAGTTTGAAATTTTCCTTTTAGATAGGACTAACCAGATGCCTAACAAATCACAAAAAAGAATTACTTACATTTTTCGTGCAGTCTTGCCTTCAGCAGCGTTCAACTTATTTCGGCTTCAAAAAAACGGTCACTTTTGTATGTTTGGTTATGGCACACGTGATGTGCTGTTGTCAGACGTGTTAGTTCAAATATTCATGAAAGTGATCTATTTGATCTATAACTATAAGTCTGTGACCATAAACCGCCTTAATTTCTAAATAAGCCTAGACAGTAATTTTTTTAAATAATCAAGTCACTTTCGACCCTATTCACCCCAGTGATCCGATTCATCCCATTTTACGGTGCTTCCAAAAATGTCTAAAATTGATCATAGTACGAGTAAAAATCCAATGGGTTCGTTCGTGTAGCTCCGACAAAAAATGGCGTGTTAATTATAGCCTGTTAGAAGTACAATCGTGCAAATTGCAGTTTACTTTAGCTTTTATTAAGTGAATTAGATTTAATTAGCACTGTGGGTCATATGTGGCCTATCCACTGAACTTGAACTGTAACTGTTACTGGAACTGGAACGCTAGTAACAATACATGCGCCTGGAAATTTTAAGCCATCCATGCAGCGTCGAACGGATGATATTTATTTTAAAAATGAACTGAACTATATATGCCGCGTTTGAGAATCCACATCGGATGCATTTTTTACATCTCGAGCGTTTTTTTATCCACATCGGACACATCTACTATCTACATCTGCGTTTGTTTATCCCAGATTACTTTTTTTACATCTCGATTTGAAATGAGATGTGAATGAGATGTTCGTTCCATGCCAGAAAGTAAGTGTTCTGTGAAGCCTTGTTTGTCAATTTATCCTTTGTTTAGGCTAGAATGAATCTCCGAGATTGCTCGGAGCACATACATATGCCGCGTTTGAGAATCCACATCGGATGCATTTTTTACATCTCGAGCGTTTTTTTATCCACATCGGACACATCTGTCCCATTACATTTACGTATACTGAATCACGTGATCAAAGATCTTTTACATCTCAGATGCATCCGATGTGGATTCTCAAACGCGGCATTTGATTACTATACGGGGCAAGAGAGAGGTCCGACACGCCCAACATAGGGCGCGGCCATTTTGAACCCTATGACACAGTTTATAGCTAAAGAATCAGATCGCTCACTCTGCGTCGGCACTTTTTATCTCAATGTTCCAGTTTATACACTGCGCAACTCAGATAATACAATATATGACAACCGCCTATAATAAAACAGCATTCTTCTGCGTATCCTGAATTTGGATCCCTGGAGTGGATGTTATTTTGGAACTTTCAACTGGTCCGAGTGAGCTAACTGATTCTTTAGCAATAAACTGTGACTCCTAAAATAATATTCACTGACACTGACAGCAGCAAGCAAAATATCAGGTGCGTTTTAATCATCCGCTTCTGCTTCCGGAATTGTCGGTTCAGTCGTTCTAACCTGTCAGATTAAAACAAGAAAACCGACAATTCCGAAGCAGAAGCGGATGATTAAAACGCACCTATTAAAAATATTGCGCCAAGATGTAGGCAACACGTAATAAGGGTTTTAAATGGCGGAGTTTTCTATCTCCTTTTAAAAGGCACTCAGAAAGTTGCTCAGTGCGACCATTCTCCGTATAGTAAAAGAAAATCAAAGTATGTGGCTCGGAGGCATGAATATAAAAGTGATTAGTTTGTTTAATTTTTGTTTATATTTTAAATTTAGGTTGATTTGTAGTCTCAAAAGTCAAATTTAATAAGTATAAACTTCTAACTTGTCATTGACATTTTATCACGTGACCCAATAAAGTCTAGAGCGTTTGTTTATTATATCTACATTCAGATCTAATTCTCTATCATGTGATAAAAAATTCACAACATCTCAGATGCATCCAATGTGGATTCTCAAACGCGCCAATATTAAGGCATTTCTTTATAAGCTTACCACGACATACTTCGTAACAGCGTTGTGGTTACTCTGATGACGTCAGACATACCGTGGTAACTCGTAGCACTTGTCGTTGTCACATGTCAAATTGGGGATTTGTTTACTTTGTTATTGTTCAGATAAATAAAAGTGTTTTTGTCACAGACGTCATTTGGTTTTCGTTCTTTTGTTATTTATTTAAATATGTCTCCTCCAACAAAAGGAAGAAAAAAATTAATAAGTGTTATTTGTGATGAAATAACAATGATAAATACTTGTGCCAGTAGTCTCATATTTTAATCTTTATAAGCGACTTAAATGACTCAAATAAATACTGTTATCCTAATTTTCCGGTCCTGCATGCACCATCAACATCCGCCACCTTGTTGCCAAATGAATTAATATGGATTTGAATCTTGACACATTTTCTCAGATTTCGTAATTCAAGGTTCTCAAAAAATATACGCTTTGGACAAAAATGTGTATTGGAAAGTACTAGCTGATTTTTATACAACAATTCCCGGTAAAGACTCCTTTTTGCAATAATTTTCATAGCTTGTATTGAAATAATTAAAAAATAAGTTTTTCTGAATTTGGGCTCTACAGCGGGAATATTTATTATTTGCTTGGTAGGTATAACAAATTTTATAAAAAAAAGTATTCAAAATTGAGATAGAGAACCTTGAAGTCGTTTTGAGCTTGTTTCTAACCATGAATATCGCTCTTAATTTCTTTTATTTTGGAGTATGCTACCTCTTACTTCACTCCAAACATTCTTCTCATTAAATATTATTAAAAAATGTCGATCTATTGTCTATGGAACATTTTTCGACGTTTATCAGACATATTTTTGCCATTTGTTTCTTAGTTTAATATGTTATGCTACCAGTTCTATTATCTTCTTTCTTTTGTTAAGTCCTCTTGAATACCTTCTCAATTTGTTTTGGATTTAGATTCGCTTCTTGAGTAGGCATTCTTCGTCATGTGTTATCAAATCAATTCAAATTTATTTGTAATTATACATTTCATAAGATATCGTGATAAACCTCAGAATTGTCTCGTCCCTTCTTTCATTTCGGTACTTTTGAAGATTTTTGCAATTCTATTGAAAGACCTTTTAAGTTTTTACTTCCAGATCAATTTTTAAGATATTACTTATTAATCGGCCAATACCATGCTTAGTTGCAAACGTTTGACTAAGAAGTGTCCAATTATACCTAAGAGAAGGAAAGCAAAGAACAATAATTTTATTTTAATTCACCACTTTCTCCTAATCCTCCAAGGTATCGTTTTTTATACTTATCTACAAAATTACTAACTTTGTTTGTTATTTATAATTTCGGTTACTAACCAAATACAACAAAAATTCGTCATTTACCGTTTTACAAATACCTAATTGTTATTTTCAAATGTAATTAGATCATGTCAGCGAAGAAACGTTGGTAACAATAACCAAAAATGGAATTAACAAATAATGAAACGAAGATAAGTTAGAAATATCATGAGGTTGCACATTTCGACATGTCTTATGGCAGTTTTAGTTTCTGAAATGACACAGTGTCTTTGTGCGAACACTGCGAACGAACAAATGAAAGGGAAATCGAGGAGGAAGAGATATGTCGCTTTTCCTGAAGGGTCCACTTTTATTGTGAGTATTAAACAAGCCAATAATCTTATTATCAGTTAATAATATTCTTTAGTTTATAACTGTTATAATTTTTATTTGCATAGATGCCCGATCCTAACATTTCGTCTGTGGCATATTTACTCGCATAATAAAAAACATATCAGAAAATATAAAAAACTGTAAAATACAAAAACGTAAATTTACAAAGAAAGCTGATAATTTTGAACTATTTATCAATAGTTTTCACTAATTAAAATGGACGAATCACATCAAGGAATCAAAGGAATGAGAAAGTAATTATCTAAACGGTACCTTAATCTTGGCTTCAAATAAACCCTGAGCATTGCCTTCTTTTGTTTATCCGAGACTATCGCATAATAATAGTTCGAATATGCTTCTTCAAAACACTATTTGTCGATGTAATGTTAAAACATTTCTGTGTATATTTATAAACAAAACTTGGAAATATATAATTGAAGATATCAAATAAGGCTAAAGACAGACAGAGACTATTGTAGATACGTAGAGTAGATATCCAAATAAAAGATTGAAACTACTAAATTATTTTGGGTAATTTTAACGCAAATATTTATATTTATGCAATATTATACTGAATCGACAGTAATAATTAATAATTAATCGGTTTAATCCGATTACAATAAGAACACCGCTACGTCATAACTATTATTTTGATTTTTCAAATATATATCACCTATAACTATCAGTAAATAAAAAATATGTAAGTTGTTTGTTTTTACAATAGTATTCCTTCGTCCTTATAATATTAACACGCCACTAAACTCCCAGTAAGCGGCGATAACCAACGAATTACTGCGCCAATAAGATGACGTAGCTGTAGTTTTCTTATCGTAATCGGACCTTACCAACGGAACTTGACCAGACACAACCTCAGATAAACAAATTAACTAGACACCAGAGCTAAGAGATATAAAGATAGGAAACGCTCATAAGAAGCCAATGCTTAACAACGACCAGCTTTAACGCAGTTAACATCTGACCCACTATATGGCGCTTTAATCGATATCAAATAACGCAGCGGGAGATTTAAAAACCTGACAACGGTTTTTTTATAAATATCGATCGCACTCTCACGTTCTGATAACTAAATTGAAACAATCTAATTACGCTTACACTACACGCTACACTTACAGTCTATTATCGATTAATTATTGTAAATCTATTCATATGACAAATATTGTTTTAATTTTTGATCGTTATTTGTAACATTAACATTCTTGTTCTTATTTTCCAAACGAATGGACAATGTTTCTTATTTAAAAATGTTGAGTGCAAACTCAATAATGGGAATTCAGATATTTTTCTTCCTATATCAAATTTCAACCTTTTCATTTCCTTGAATACAGTTCATCAAATTTCTAGAGGCTTTCGACGGCTAGACAGAGAAAGCACTACTGACAGGCATCCCGACGGATTTACGCAATGAAAGTACACTCTGCGAATCAAGTATTTCACTATTTCATTCAGACGTAAATGTCAGATGTAAATTTCGCTAAAACATTTCTTTTATTTTCGTTTGTGTTTGTTGCTCATTACAGTTTAATAGAACCTAAGTATGGAGTTTAATAGCAAATTAAGAGGCCGCGTGATTAACAGTCAATCTCGCGAAATAATAGCCAATGTTATAGAGTTTATGAGAAGAGAAGGAAACTTTAATTCACCTTCAATACCATTTAAAAATGTAAATGATCGTGTTGCTGCAGCCACAGGAGTATCTAAAAACACTGTCGTCCGCATTTCTGGAGAGAAAAAAAGAATCGATAACCGTGAGATATCGGAATTTTCATCACCAAGAAAAACCATTAAAAAACCAAAAACAGTTAATGATATAGATGAAGCTGCACAAGAATCAAATTTTATTTTTTTATTATTAGATAGCTATTTTTGTTTCTGAGTTGTGTTCATTTACAGGCTCAATTTTTTTCCGTTTCTCCTTTTTGATTTTATATGGGGTTTCAAGTTGTTTTTGACTTATTTCGACGTAAATCACAACAACACACTTTTTTAATAAAGCAAACAAGTGTTAAGAGGTATATGTACGTGTAAACTACAATTACAAAAAATTGATATGAAACCCATGAAACCACCAACAAAAATGTAAAGCTAGCTTCCGTACTAGAACATGGTGTCATTCGTCGAGATAATCTATCGTTTTGTTTAATAGATCAAGAAATGTAAATATTCCCCTGTTATTTTTTATAAAATTATAAGAGAAATAAATTTTTTTCTAAATAGTATAGTTTATTATTTTGTAGAAAAACAAAATTTCGAAAATTTTAGTAATGTTTCAGAAACAACCGTTATTAATAATAGGTACCATTTTCCTTAATAAGGTAGAAATAAAATATAAACTATTTCCACGATTTACAAAGGCCTACAAAAAAATTATAGGTATTTTCCGCTATCCTATAAAATTTATATTTTCTGACTCAATTTCAAAAGGTTGAAGGAATTCCAAAACACCTTTTATGGCATAATAATTATTTTCAATTCTACATACTATCTTTAGCTGCTTTTAAAAACGTTCTAAGAAAGTCCAATCAGACCAATTTAATCCCTAAACTATTCCACACTTTTAAAATTTAATTACCTAAAAATATTAAAAACTATTTAAAATAACTTGTTTAGCAGACTGTACAATAGCTATCTTAGTCACACGTAGCGCGTTCTCTGTCTGGGAGTCGAACACCTCTAGAAATTTGATGAACTGTACATGTTCTGTTACTCCTGCTAGTTTTACTTTATTATGGGTTGCCAGATCATTAAGTATTCCAAGGTAGTTTTAGACCAGCTTTGACTTGATTCTGTTTGAACCTAGCACAGCTTTCTTTTTAAATTCTCTCATACACACAATTCGATTGCATGTATTTCAGCCTGAAATACTGTGGTATGTTTTCCCAGTGAGACGGTAATGTCGCATTTGTGTTGAACTTCATGTATGCCAGAGCATGTCCCTTTGTTAGTTTTAGACCCATCCGTATCCCATACGAGACCGGTAAGCAAGTATTTCCTTACCTCCTTATTTACCTCGTTTCAGTTGCAGTTGACCTGAAAGAGTCTGTTAAAGGTTAGGCGATATATCATGTGACTGATCCCATGTTTAATATTGTATAATATTTACCTCATGTGTTATTCTGATGTTTTATATTTCCCAGTGGGTTCTAATTTTTGGAGATATTCAGCCTGTGTGCACTCATTGTGGCCTCTCCCTTTATGACTAAGTCAATAGGTGGGAGATTCAGGATGATTTCCATATAGGTTGTCGGAGTAGGTACTTCTCAGTGCTCCTGTAATACAAATGCAAACAATCCTCTGTATACTTGAGAGGGTATTGAGGGCTGTTTTCTGGTTTACTTCTGACCACCAAACAATAAGTTATCATGGGTCTTGTTATTGCCGAATATAGCCAGTATACAATAAGATACATTTTACATTTGTTTTTCACCATTTGTAAGTGTTGGTTCCAAATAAGTTTGCTATCTACGATTAGACTCAGATATTTTACTTGGTTTGTTCTTTTTAGCCTTCCTCCAAACAGAATCGGAGTTTCTAAGACCTCCAATCTCGTTTTTTAAATGCAGGTTATGAGTTATGCCTTATCAGGGTTTACCAAAAGATTTTTCCTAACGGACCAAATTTCTGTCAGCCGTAGAGCTCTTTGAATGGGTGTAGTTTCGACCGGAGACTGTTGACTATGTCATCGGCGTATCCTTGGGCGTACCTCAGTTTAATTGCCACTAGACTCCACAGTAGAAGAGAAAGGAGATTCCCTATGAATTTTCCCCTTCATGGTTTCACTGAACATTTGTGCCTTTACTTGCCCTTCTCTTAACATGTCTTCTATCCATCAGCAGATGGTGTCTTCTATTCCATGTTTGCGAGCGGCAGCTACTATTCATGTAAAGGAGGTGTTATCAAAAGCTCCTTCTATATCAAATAATGCTCCTAGGACGAATTTTTGGTTACTGAGTCCCCCTTCTATCTTGGTTACAAGATGATGTAGAGCAGACACACATTAGATTTTTCAGATTGATAGGCATGTTGGTTTGTATGAAATGGCCTCTCTATCAGAGTGGTTTCCGGACATTCTAATCAATTAGGTTCTCCAATCATTTCAATAGAAGCGACTCCAGAGTTATTGGTCTGTAGGCCTTTGCCAAGGCATATGTTGGACGCCCTGCCCTGGTTTAGGTATAAAAACCACTCTACTTTGTTTCGAGGTATTTGGTACATAATTATGTGCCAAACTTGCCCCGTAGTGCCTACAAATATGCGGGGCCAGTGTTTCTATTGTCTGTTGCAGAAGTACAGGTAATACCCCATCTGATCCTGGTGATTTGTATGGATTGAAGGTGCACATTGCCGATGTTACTTTTTCTGTTGCGACTAACCGTTTTTCAGTTTCCCATTCTTTACCGGAGGCTCTTCTTTGAGAGTTCCATTTCGTGTGGGTTTGGTTTGCTGCATTTAGGTTTGCCGTGCAATCAGGGAAATGAGCTATAAGAAGTTATTCTAGTGTTTCCAATCCAGTTTTAATGTATTCCTTTGTTTGGGTTTTTAGAGTCCCTACGGGGTTTGTAGGATCTTTTTCTATTCTCGCAATGGCTTATCATTTATGGATTAGCAAGATCAGCAACCAGATTAATTTTAATTAACTTACGAGTATACGGTAATTTGTCGTTTGACAAATCTACAACATTGAAAAATAGAGAATAAACGAAACATATACCCAAATTTAATGGATTAGGAAGCTACACAGATTGGAAAGACTTATTCGAAGAGGCGAATATTATACAAATTAATTAATTTCTTAGCGTTACAATTAAATTATTTTCTTTATTCTCCGAGAGAGAAGCATCTGTGACAACTTCCTATTATCAGTTACTCATATCAATGCGAACCTCAACAACATCCAACGCTACACATTCAAGATAACGAAAGTCTCTAGCAAATAATAGTTATTGAACTTCTTGAACTATACTGAATTTTCTTAACGAAGGAATGAATGTATTCTGTTATGAAAAAGTCTACATTAAACTAATGTACTGTTGAAACTGCATTTAGTTATTATTTCTATCTATTTATGCCTTTCAAACGATGTTAGTTAAAATAATTATTATAATTTTTACTTACATAATTTGTAGGCCACTCTATGTGATACTATAGCGACAACTACTGGGTTTGCAATTTATTACGAAGGAATAAATTGGGGTACAGGTTGGTCGTTACCAAATCGTTCCAGCGTCATTGGTTACGTGACAGAAAACAAACATAAAAGAAAAAGAAAACAAAGGAGAGACATTTATTCCAAAGTCGAGACCTTGTTGGAGGCGTAAGTTTGCAAATTATTCTATTTACTAACCTAGTTTCTCTTCAACAATTCTTATGTTATATTTTCTTTTTGTTATTTTTAAAATCATGATTTTGTTTCTTTTTTATTTATCTTCATCTTTTTCCCAAGATTTTTAATGCCTTTAGTGGATATATTAAGGTATTTTTGTAGTAATTTTTCAGCTTTCACCATTATTACCATATAATCTGAATAATATAATTTTAATATATCTGTTTCTTTATTCTATTTGACTACACACTTTTAAATAATTATTTAAAATTATTTTAAGCAACACGTAAATTAAAATATATTTTAGTTTTAGGCCTAACTTCTGGTTAAAAAAGCAATCGATATCAAATGAACAATATTAGATATCAACTAGTCAAACTTTTGAAAAGTAATAATAGATCAAAGACATAAAAACTTAAGATATAATAAACAAAATTGAAAATACTTATATAAAACAAGTATAGATACCAAAGAATCAATGAAATTACGTGAGCATCTAGGTATACAATATTATTTCCGAATTAAAACTGTACTAAAGGAACAATTTATTGTTATATATGACCAATATTGCAATCACGGTGCCAACCCTACTTAAATTAAAACGTTCCAATTTGGGATAAACAATTTCTCATCTGAAAACGTCTTATGAGACCCTTTTCTAAAAATAAAGCGCAAATTCGATGACAGAGACAGAGTGGAGTATCGAAAAAACGCCATCAATCATCAAAAATTGATATTTTTATTGAAACCAATTTCGTCCCTTTAAGTTTCATCGACTACAAGTGGTTTAAAGTCTTTTTAAAATCTAGTCGAGAATTTTAACATCAATCATTTCAGAATGTAAATATGAGAATCAACTTTGTCTTGATATTGATGGAAGTGATAAAAAACAAATATGTTTATCATTAGGTACAAGAAATATAAAATTTGCCGTTTAAAAGATATATTTGAGTCAAGAAACAATACATATTTATGTATTTACTTTATTAATTACACCATACACAAAGGTAGATTAGAAAGATTACAGAACAAAAATACTGTCAGTACGTGGTCAGTTCAATTCGCTAGTAAATACAGGGTGTCCAGAAACGCTCTTCAAAGAATGAAACCACGAAATCTAGAGCTGATTTTATGACGATTTAGCCTAAATTACCTTAATCCAAAAATGCTTCCTAAGGGAGCTAGAGCTCTTTAAAGATAGCGCTCTAAAATCGGTTTAATTGAAATACCTTCAAAATGGATTTTTATTAAATGATATTATTCTGTACATTTATTTATTTGAATCTAACAAATCAAATTTCGTAAATAATATTTTTTTAATATAGTCATAAGCGGCTCGTTTGGGTGGGGTAATGGATATTTTTCTTTTTTTTTTTTCTTTAAAAAATTCGCCATTTTGAAATCATATTTAAAAAGTTTCGTTATTTTCACACAAAAATGATACTCTTGTCTGAAGTCTCCATGACCATCCGTTTTCGAGAAAAATCGATTTAAACTTTCCATGCTTCCATTGACTAACAAATAAATTTCTAAATTAATTATGATAGGATGGCTGTGGAAAATAAACGAAATAACAATTACATAAATGTGAAATGAAATATTAAAAGTTAAAGATGGTTCGGTTTAGTAATGAAGAATATGCTGAAATGCATTTAGTGTATGGTGAAATGCAATGTAACGCGCTGGCAGCGTCACGTAGGTATGCCGAGAAATTTCCAAATAGGAGACATCCTGCTTCAAAAAAATTCACAGTTCTTTATCAAAGACTTAGGGAAACAGGATCTGTAATTCCCAGTAACAACGAGACTGGTAGACATGCTGACGTATTCGAGGAATATGAGAATGATGTTTTAATGAAAATCGAGAAAAACCCTGAAATTAGCATAAGAAGATTAGCTGCAATGTATTCTAATATTTCTAAATCATCTGTGTGAAACATTGTTCATCGGGAAAACGCATTTCATTTTAAAAAAGTTCAGGATGTTAATGATGGTGATTTTTCTGCTGGTGTGGCCTTTTCTATTTGGTTAAGAATGCAAGAAAATCAAAATCATCACTTCTTTTTAAACATTTTGTTTTCTTATGAAGCTATTTTCACAAGAGATGGAATTTTTAATATGCATAATGCATAGGGTTGCCAGATTTCTGAAAATGAAAAGCGTGACAACCGTGACAACCGTGAAAACCGTGACAACCATGACAACCGTGAAAACCGTGAAAACCGTGAAAACCGTGAAAACCGTGACAACCGTGACAACCGTGACGGCAGAGCATTAGGTTCAAATACCAATATTTTTTATATAATCAGGTCCATGTTTTGTGAAATTTCTAAAATAAAGAAAAGGTCCTCAGCTTATATTTTTCGTAAAAACGAGGGAGTCCTTTACCTGGAGATTCGTCTATTTTTGTAGTATCCTCTACGGCTGTAAATTAAAAAGCGTGGCATTTGCATAAAAAGAGTGGTATTTGCATAAAAAGAGTGGCATTTTCGTACTGTAGCGTTGCGCGTACAAGCAAGTCAAAAAGCGTGGCAAATACGCCAAAAGCGTGACGTCTGGTAACCCTAATAAAGCACATTACTACTCTTATATTGGTGATAATCCTCATGTTATAAAAGAAACTAAACATCAGGAAAGATTTAGCATCAATGTATAGAGAGGTGTCCTTGGTGACAATCTGCTTGGGCCTGTACAATTGCCCAATCGTTTAAATGGTGAGAATTATCTCAACTTTTCACAAAATACTTTACCAGATTTATTGGATGACATTAATTTAAATATTCGACAGAACTTGTAGTATTTACATGATGGTTGTCCAGCTCACTTTAGGAGGAATGTTCGTGAGTTTTTAGACAATAATTACCGAGACCGATGGATAGGAAGAGACGGTCCCGTTGCTTGGCCAGCGAGGTCTCCGGATTTAAATCCATGCGCTTTTTGTGTTTATGGATATCTCAAATCAGTGGTTTATTCGCAACCAATTGAATCAGGGAATTACCTTTATATTCCATGGCTACCTAATCATAATTTTGATATTTATTTGTTAATCAATGAAAACGTATGTAAAGACATGAAAAGTTTAAGTCGATTTTTCTAGAAATTTCATTTCAAAATGGCGATTTTTCGAAAGACAAAAAAATTGAATAAAAATATCCAATACCCCACCCAACGAGCCGCTTACGACTAAATACAAGTTGTTATAATTCTCTATAATTTTTATGCTATACTTCTCTAAAATGGACCGTATTCGAGATATTTGAGAAAATGTATAAATTTCGAATTTTGAAGAGAACTCAAAACAGAATAAAAAAACATTATTTAAGTTTTATTTCATCCTGAGGTAAAATGATTAGATTTTGGACAAAATCGGAACATCTGGGGGGGTACTTTATAGGATGTCGTTTTTATATTTTATGGAATATATCTGTAATTTATGTTTGGAGAAGAAAATTGATCAAATAAAAGTTACTTCTAATATTATTATCTATAATTTTTGTTAAATGCCAAATTTTCCTGAAATGGTCCGTATTCGAGAAATTTGACAAAATGTGCAAAATTAAATTCTGATTTTTAGGAAAATTGTTAAACTAAAAGTTGTTTGCGATATCGATCTCTATTTTTTGTTTTTTACATGATTTTTCTAAAATAGACCGTAATGGAAAAATTGGAGGAAAAGTGCTAAATTTAAATTTTACAGTATTTTCGTTTTCAATGAATATCTATAGAAAAATGTTTCGAGTTAGATGTATGTGGAAAATGTATATATTTAGTTTACCCTCTAAACATTTTTAGAGGTGCTGCAATAGGTTGTACAAAATAACCGGAAAAAGCCTGTGTTGGACACATCAAATTTTTTGAATTGTTTGGCGACCTTTATAATCCCTTTATAATTGACTCAATGTTTAATACAATTATCCCAGTTAAGAAAATCTATTGACAACTGGATATTGTAATAAACATTTAGAATCAAATTCATGAATTAGGAAACAAATTACCTAAGAAATAGAAATATTGTTACAATATATCTAGATATTTTCGATATTTAGTCTATATTTAGTACAATTTAACTTGTTTACTTTTTACTTATAAGGTTAATAATTTTGAATTGCTTTATTTTTAGAAGATTTTAATTTTTTTGTCTTGTTTCACGGAACTGTGACGCCATAAATATTTTATTTAATGACGCATTCTGTATTTTATAGTAAAAATGCCACAGTACCTTTAAATTCAAATCCACCAATTAACTAATTTTTCTCGAACCATTTCTTAGGAAAATTATACAAAAAACGACGGCTTAGCTCCGAGAAATGAGACAGTCAAAAATTTTAAATATTAATATGTTTTTTGTTATTATAATTTAAATTTAGAATTGGATACAACGGACCATCATGCATATACAGAGCGTTGTGTGAGGCACCCCGAAGGTTCAAAAGAAAATCTACAAAATTATCAGAAGAGTTACTTCGTATATTTTTCTAGTAAGTATAATATACAGGTTCGGAAATTTAAATGTTGACCATCTAAGCCAAATCAGAAACGACCGTAAGTGCGAGTGAGGTGGGAGTGAGGCGGGAGTCGTACATACCCAATGAAGTGGAGAGGGGTCGAATTATAAAAAAAGTAAAGATACTATGCATAATTTCGTTTTGCACATTTTGTAAACAAGATTCAGGGACGGTTTAAGAACATTTTGTGCAACAATTATAAAATAGTACATCGAAAAATAATTAACAGGCATAATTTAATACTAAATCAAAGCACAAAAAATCACAAATATAAGCAAGGCAATAAAGAACCGACGCCAAAAAAGCTTACAATAGCCACAACACAAACAAAAAACAAAGTTGAACGTGAACATAATAGCTGAACAAAGCCAAGCCTGGAATTTGTTTACTGTGCTTTAGGACAACCTCTCATTTACGTGTATAAGAGTGGAAGGTTGAATCATGCATAATTTCTACTTATTTGTTAGTACTGTGCAACAGCGCTTCGCGCTTGATAGCGGCCTTTGTTTATTTCACAAGTGGTCCTATTATATCTTGTCCAATTCAGTGTAAAATATATAGTCCGCGTTTCTATTTTATAGTTTATAGAAAGCAAATCTTAACATAATCATTCGGTATTTGTAACGTCTAGAGGGCGGGTTACCCCCCCCCGCGGCACTTAGGCCTCACTAAGCCCATTGTGCATAAGATGATAGGCACCTTCTAGCTCGTGAGACAGCCTACAGATTTAATGTAGTTGACAACGTCGCCAAGAGGTGCTAGCCGATAACTCGTCGAACACAAATTTTCTAATAACTGAGAACGTCGGGCATTCATAGAGGATATGCTCGATGGTCTTATATTCTTGTTCGCACCCCTTACAGAGAGCGGATTCTACCAGCCCTACGATACGGAGATGCTTCCGTACTTGGTGATGACCAGTCATAATGCCTGTGATCAGGCTCAGATTCTGCTTAGTCATAGTCAAGTATTTGTCTGCTGTAGTGTTGTCAGGATAATTTAAAAACTCCTTCGAAACTCTGCAGTTTCTTGTTTCATCCCATCTTTTCTTAAATTTCACAAGGAAATGTTCTTTAATTAAGTCTGTCACTACAGATGTTGTTAGTTCAATGAAAGGGCAAGGTCCAAAGAGTATTTGGTTGGCTGCCTTCTTGGCTAGTTAATCAGCAAGAAGGTTACCTTTCGATGTGGCGTGACATTTGATACATCTTAAGGCGATCACATTCTTCGGCCAAAGCTTCATGACGTTCTAGTACTAACCCTCAGTTAATTCATGGTCTGTTCAGGGTGAGTAGTGCTTGTCCGCTATCTGTATAGATTAACATGTCCTTGATATTGTTTCTAGTGATTCCTTTTGTTACTATGAGAATCCCCGTGGGCTCAGTTTGAACTTCACTGGCACTATTGCTCACAGCCCATTTTATATTTAGGTTTAAGGATCTGGAGTATGTTCCACATCCTAACCCTCGTTTTGTTTTAGAACCGTCGGTGTAGATATGAATCGTACCTGCCACTTCCGGCTCTTCTATTTGTTCTGTTATAACTTTTTATGGCTTAAGCCGCTTATGAAAGATATATCTCGGTGAGATGGAGTCAATGTTTCTTGAAGCAGTTGGAGCGTATCGAGCACCTCTTGCCAAAAGCGACATCTCGCCTCACCAGATTCTACGTCAGGTTCTATTCCAACCGTGCGAAGGCGTGTCATTATCATTAGAATAACATCCTTGATGTAAATATCAAGAAGAGTGAGACTAAGAATTACTTCCGTGGCTTTGGCTGGTATGGTTTTCTTGGCTCCTATTGTGTTGAGATATGCTGTTCTTTGAATTTGTTCTAGTTTGTGGATAGCTGTCAATTTTTAGGTTGTCGATACCCGGACATGCACCATATGTTAGCATAGGTCTTGTGATGACCGTGTAAGTTTTTGTGACGATTCTGGTGGAGAAACCTACGTACGCTACACGTTTAGGCGGCATTGTTTATAAGTAATATGTTCTCTTTTGACAGAGTTCCATGTTGTCAAAGGTTCAAAAATATAGTTTCCTCTTTATAAGCTCTGAAGGTTTTAATTCCATTTTTATCCTTTTCTTTTTGAAAAGTGTCATATCTGTGTTCTTGGGATTAATAGACTGAATAGTCCTTGCACCATTGTTCTATAATTTTGAGAGCTACTTCCATTCTTTCGCAGAGTATGTTTTCAAAATTCTCTATTTGCAGAATGACCAGGTCATCTGCATAGTAATATTTCAGAAATGTATTCTAATTCTAGTAAATGACCTGGGGTGACCAAAATTTGCTCTGTATCATTTTCAAATGGCCACCCTGTATATATATAATACTCTATATGTATTAATAAATCATCAGAAATCTTCTAAATTCATAAAAATTAATAAATGTTTTATATTGTGTTTCTACTTATTTCATTGGTACTTTAGCACCGCAGCACCACTGAATACCAGTGATGGCTTATAGGGTTGCCAGATGCCAGAGATCCCAATTTAGGCCTACCGATTGTTGATACTCCCATCTACCGCTTCAATCCTCAAAACTCTAGCTATTCAACATTTAACAATACCTTTTTTCCAAGAAAAATTTCATAAAATCAACGCTTTAAAATATCTTTTAAAAAACTGGAGGCGACCCTAAGTGGGGTGTGGAGGGGGGGGTCTCATTTCCCGCATAGAGGCCCGGGCACCCAAAGCAATTTTTGAGTTTCGGCGCCTATGTCAGATGCAATGAAAAATTGGTCAAGTCAAGAAACACGTAAATAATTGTTGTTTTGAAAAATAAACACTAGTTAACCTTAATTACTAGTTGTAACTGATAACTCTTTCGTAAATTAAGGTTGTATGAGTATGTATATTAGTATAACAACTGTTATCGAAAAAAAACCGCTAGTTAAAAAAGGAAGTTGAACAAGAAAAACCTTATTATTCTAGACAAGTTAGATGCAGAAGATGTAGCAGTTAACCTAACATGGAATATAATTTACCAGCAAAATGGGAAGGCTTTGCAAATTCTCTTGCATCAGTGGTAAACATTCGATGAGTTCAAGCCAATCTGTAATATGTACCCAATTAAAAAATAACATAAAAATAAAATACGAGAAATTGTATGAATCCTATTATCGGAAGTTGAAATTTTTGGTACATGTGGATTGAGATTATATGATTTTTGACATAATGATGAGACATGGACCCATTTGCATTTTTAAAATTATAAAATTTATGGATAAGTCCGCGTTATCAGTACAATTGGTTTATAATTAAATTGAAAACTTTTAATAAATATTTTAACTCATAATTTATAATATTTTCTAGCTTTCCGCTTCACACCCTTTCTGATGACGAGCCTTTTGATCATCGGTTTTACCACGAAGCACACAGGATAGGCAGATCGGTTGAGCAACAGGATTGCGCTGATATGTATCCTACATGTACTATTTCCTTGATAGATTTAGCACTAGGATATTACGACGGTTAGAACGATAATATCTGAATTATTGAAATCACTTACATCACCGCTCAAGCGAAAGGATTCACCCTAAATTATGTAAAAACGCGATGTCTCGGAAAATTATTTATTTCAGCGTGTTAAGTTTAAAACATGAGTTGGCCCGAACGAAACAGGTCCAATTTTATTTCGTTTTATTTTTTTTAATAAAAAATTATTCAAAAATGTTTGGTGTATTATTTTAAATTGTTTATTATTTCTGAAAAAGTGGTTATTTTCTAATTAATAAATATTTTCAACATAGACTAGTTAAAGCGTAACATTTATGGTATTTTAACACAAAATGACTTACGACATAACTCATAGGTAACAAAAAAAAAAAATACAAAAATAAATAATAAATAGCTTAGTTACTGCATTGACTTGGATTTTCATAAAAAAATGTTATTGGCATATTTAAATAATCTAAAAATATGCAAAATGGCTAAAACAAAAGTTAAAATTAAAAAGAAATAGTACTTTCTTGTATACTTTAACATACGCCACTGTAGAATTGTATTAAAAATTTCAAATTTAGAACGTCGTGATTGATTCGAAATATAAAATATACTACCAAACGACCACTCAATATATTTGTACTTGTCTTTAGAAAAGATGAAAATATCAAAAAAATAAATGAAATTACAGTTATGGGACTCAGGATTGAAATATTACCTCTAGAAAATCGAAGTTATTGCCACAATGTAAGAGGTATCAAGTTTATAAACACAGGCAAAGGTATTACTCAAAATAATCCAGGTCTATAAAGTGTTCAAAAAAAACATTTTAGAATAGAATACATAATACCTAAAAACTCGAAATCCAAATGTGTGCACTGCGAAGAAGATCATCCTGCTAACTATCGTGGATACATGGTACCCAAAGAATTAAAACAAAATAAAAATAAGAAATCGAAATTGCCACAACAGCAACAAAGGGCTGTCCAATCAACAATTGCTTGGCAAACACCAAAACAAAATAGGGAACACGAAAGATAATAACGACACAATTACACTCTCGAGCAAGTGTTGGAGAAATTTAACAAGATGGAAGAAAGAATCTCGAAATTAGAACTTCGTAGTCAAGGAACATTCCCCAAGAATACAAATGCCTAATTACCTATAGTAATAGGGAACAAGACAGATAATAATGACACAATTACACTCTCGAGCAAGTATTGGAGAAATTTAACAAGTTGGATGAACGAATCTCGAAATTAGAACATCGTAGTCAAGGAACGTTCCCCAAGAATTCAAATGCCTAATGAATGAAATACCAATAGGCTACTGCAACATCAAAAAAAATTGCAAGTGGTCCTTAAGCTAGAAAAAAATTGATGTATGCCTCATAGCTAAGACTCATTTTACCAAAAAATCTTACAATAAGCTCAGAGGCTATCACAACTACCATACTATCCACCTGGCCAATACAACGAGAGAAGGAAGTGCGATAATCATAAATGAATCTATAATACATTACCAAATAATGGGTTGTCAGACCGAAGCTATTCAGGCAATACAAACCAAAATTTATGAAGGAAGAATAAAACATTGACTTCCTGAATAGCCAAAGCCACAGGTTCGTATAATATATCTTCTCCTCTGCATCAAAAGTAAAGCACTGAGCTACGCCACTTATAAAAATATAGTTCCATTTACACAAATTGTATGGATGGAACAATATTTTCAGAAGTGGCCTAGCTCAGTGCTACACTTTCGATGCAAAGAAAAAGACCTAATGTGTGGATACTTCAATGCGAAGTACATCCACTGGAGATCTAGTTTTACACCAAGCAAAGGAAAGAATTTTTAGGGAGATAGTATCAACAGGTAAGTCCACCTACTGGCCCACAGACGCAAATAAGGTACCGGACCTCAAAGACCCTTTGTGATTAACAATATATCATCGAATTATATACATATAAAGAAAGCATGGGACATGAGCTCAGGTCCTATATTACTAACAATAAGTGACAGTGTAATTTAAAAAGAGTGTAGCACTTTCCTGGAGCTCCCTGTATAATTGATATTAATTTTAAACTAATATATCTTACGTTGATTTTTAAAAAAGTTTAGTTTTGACACTACAGACCAAGACGTTACCGTTGTCCCACCCTGTGTATTGTAATTATTATCTTGTTACAAACATATTTATAATGTAACGTAGTCAAATAAATTCTAGTCTATTCTTTTTACTTCGATTCAATTTTAGTCCGACCTATTTAAATCTAAATATAGCGGAACAACTTTATTTTTCAAAATCGATAATGTCCTTTTGTCGTGGAAGTTGTGTTCGTTTCGTCTACGACGGCAAGAGTATAAAATCTTTCTGGTAAATTATGGCCAATATCATTAACTTTCATGGATAGAGTCGCCTGAGAGAGTTTCCGAATCTCTATTTTCGCAAAGGGCGACGTGAATCCTGCAACGATTTCTCAAATACAATTTCCCCAAATATTTCAATGACGATAAGGAAACATTGGAGCCGTCTCGAAAGATTTCATACCATTTTTCACTCTGTTTTCTTTTTAATTTCACGGAAACTTGTCTTTAACCTGCCCATAACCGGCTAACAAAGGACTATAGGGATCAGAAATTAAAAAGCTAGCGCTACCTAATACATCTGCCGCAATCACTCACATAATATACATTATATTACAGATGACCAGCATTTATTTATATTCTTGATGAAACTGTTTTATTTACCAATAGTATCAGGTGTACCGCAGGAAAGCATACTAGTACCACTTTTATTCCTACTTTAAACAAATGATTTTCCTATACCAGCAACAACAACTACGGGAACATTTGATGATGACACTGCTATCTTTGCGATTCCTGAAAATTCTGTAATAGCTTCCTCTAACCTACCTAATTGCAAAAGATATCTTAAGAATACACATTGGTACTGAAGTGATGTGAATCTACATCTGTTCAGAAAAGAACATACACAGAAGCCCTCACCCCCCAAAATAATAATAAATATAGCCAAGGTGGTTATATCGGGCGATACTATTATTGATCCTTTATAGGTATCTATAAATTTAACTCTAGCAGTTCATTTCGATATGTTGGAAACACTATTAATCCTTCAAAAGTATACGAATTAGAAAACCAATGAAATATTCTTGGAAACCTGTTTTTAGTAGAAAATTTGTTACATTAACAGCAATATGAAGTACCACCAAAGTACCTCCAAATTGTGCTAATAAGTGGATAGGGAGGAAAAGCTCTATTGAATGGCCCCCAAATCACCAGATTTATTATAGGTTATAATCAGTGATTATCTATAATAAATTATAAATGCCACTCTTCAAAATACTGAATCCCTCAAGCATGGCTTGTGCGGAAAATGGTGTGCTGTATTAATCATTATTACCAATATAAACATTATGTTATTATTACTTTTTGTATTGTTTAAACATTTGTAAATTTGTATTTTTTTTATTGTTTGTAAATTTGTATTTTTTTACTTTTGTACTTTTTGTATTGAGTTAAGATCTACCAGGATGAATTGTTCTATGAAAATAACAATTTCTCACTGATTTTTTCCTGTATACATAGCACCATTATTTTATAGTAAAATGTATTTTAACTAAATTTAAAAATAATTTTTCTTTTAATTTATCTTTTACTTTCATCACTTTAGATAATTTTCCAACAGGCCTGTTGCTAGTGTGCAATTTGTTATACTCTTCACACAGTAGTATTTGAAGAGTATTATAGGTTTACTATCAAGAAACCAAAATTTTTATTATCGGTCCAAATTTAAAAGTTTTGTAAATCCTTCTATTCAAATTTTAAACAACTTTTTAAAATGTCCGTCCATCGTCACGTTTTTTGTCTGCACGATAAGTCAAAAACGAAAAATGATATCAACTTGAAAATTTAACAAAAATCAAGTACCATATGGGGACAAAGCCTATTGATTTTAAAATATATGAATAAAATTGGGTGTCGTATAAAAAAAAGTCCTTTAATTCTGAAGAAATCTGAATAAAATGGGGAGGTTGTTTACCTTTTCAACTATCAAAAAATCTTCACTTAAATATCGTGGCACCTCGATAAAATTTCCGGAATTTTTTTTAGTTGCCATGGTAACTAGTCAAAATTAAGACATCTTATTGGTTGAAAAGTAGAGGAGTGAAATTTTCACTTATAATATCATAAGGTCTTAAATTATTTCTGGACATTTTCTTTCGGGTACGAATATTTTAGGAATTATCCCTCGTCGCTCTAAACCTGATGATGACTCTTGGGTCGAAACCAGTTACCGCTTTATAATTTTAGTATTGAATTTATATGGCAGAGATTTTAAGTATTATTTGTCTTTTATTAAATAAAAATCATGGTTTTAGAATTAGAAACCGTTAATGAAATTATAAATTTTATTTCAAATTACATTATTTGAGTATCGTCCCAACGCTGCATCAATTAGGGAAAAAGGGCAATTAAATATTTGTGAACAGTGTTGGTTTGGATTTTCCTTCCCCATTTGTGCGGCAAAGTGATAAATCCGGTGTTCTTCCGGTTCAGAACGCAGAATCTTCTCTTGCGGGAAACTGGAAAATAAATAAAAAAAAAATGAAATCTGAGTTTACGAGATTATAGGAAAGGGTCAATGAAATCCATTTGCCTGAGAATAATGTCAGTTTTTTAAAGCTTTAATATAACTTGTTCGTCGACAAAAGAGTTAATGGGTTGGAAGGTAGATATAAAAGCAACTAAGTTTCGTAATATTTTAAATTTGAACATCAGTTTCTCTCTTAAATTCTCTATTTCCAATTATTTATTACAGTTATGTAGATAATAAAAAATTTTTGATTATCAGTAGACAGTAGATTAAAGTTTTTAATCCAATATATAAATACTTTCATTTAATATTTTATCTTCTATTATAAAGTGTGTGTGTGTGTGTGTGTGTGTGTGTGTGTGTGTGTGTGTGTGTGTGTGTGTGTGTGTGTGTGTGTGTGTGTGTGTGTGTGTGTGTGTGTGTGTGTGTGTGTGTGTGTGTGTGTGTGTGTGTGTGTGTGTGTGTGTGTGTGTGTGTGTGTGTGTGTGTGTGTGTGTGTGTGTGTGTGTGTGTGTGTGTGTGTGTGTGTGTGTGTGTGTGTGTGTGTGTGTGTGTGTGTGTGTGTGTGTGTGTGTGTGTGTGTGTGTGTGTGTGTGTGTGTGTGTGTGTGTGTGTGTGTGTGTGTGTGTGTGTGTGTGTGTGTGTGTGTGTGTGTGTGTGTGTGTGTGTGTGTGTGTGTGTGTGTGTGTGTGTGTGTGTGTGTGTGTGTGTGTGTGTGTGTGTGTGTGTGTGTGTGTGTGTGTGTGTGTGTGTGTGTGTGTGTGTGTGTGTGTGTGTGTGTGTGTGTGTGTGTGTGTGTGTGTGTGTGTGTGTGTGTGTGTGTGTGTGTGTGTGTGTGTGTGTGTGTGTGTGTGTGTGTGTGTGTGTGTGTGTGTGTGTGTGTGTGTGTGTGTGTGTGTGTGTGTGTGTGTGTGTGTGTGTGTGTGTGTGTGTGTGTGTGTGTGTGTGTGTGTGTGTGTGTGTGTGTGTGTGTGTGTGTGTGTGTGTGTGTGTGTGTGTGTGTGTGTGTGTGTGTGTGTGTGTGTGTGTGTGTGTGTGTGTGTGTGTGTGTGTGTGTGTGTGTGTGTGTGTGTGTGTGTGTGTGTGTGTGTGTGTGTGTGGGTGCGTGCGTGCGTGCGTGCGTGCGTGCGTGCGTGCGTGCGTGCGTGCGTGCGTGCGTGCGTGCGTGCGTGCGTGCGTGCGTGCGTGCGTGCGTGCGTGCGTGCGTGTGTGTGTGTGTGTGTGTGTGTATCCATCATAACTCATGAACCGATACACAGAAAAACACCAAATATTAAACTTAAGCTTTATTCCAGCGTCCAATGAACAGATTAGATTTTGGGCCGAGTCGGAACATCTGGGGGGTACTTTTCATATTTTATGGAATATATCTGTTATTTACGTGTGGAGAAGAAAATTCTTTAAATAAAAGTTACTTCTTATATTATTGTCTATAATTTTTATCCTATACATAATTTCTCTAAAATAGACCGTATTCGAGATATTTGAGAAAATGTGTAAATTTCGAATTTTGAAGAAAACTCAAAAACGGATAAAGAAAAAACATTAAATTTTAATTTTAAGTTTTATTTCGGCTTGACGTGAAATGATTAGATTTTTGACAAAGTCGGAACATCTGGGGGGGTACTTTATGGGAGGCCGTTTTTATATTTTTTGGAATATATCTGTTATTTATATTTGGAGAAGAAAATTGTTCAAATAAAAGTTACTTCTAATATTATATTATCTATAATTTTTGCTTTATGTCAAAATTTCCAGAAATGGTCCGTATTTGAGAAATTTGACAAAATGTGCAAAATTCTGATCTTTATGAAAATTGTTGAACTAAAAGTTATTTGCGATATCGATCTCTATAATTTTTGTTTATACATGATTTTTCTAAAATGGACCGTAATGGAAAAATTGTAGAAAAAGTGCTAAATTTAAATTTTTCAGTATTTTTGTTTTCAATGAATATCTAAAACTAGGTTGTACAAAATAAATGGAAAAAGCCTTTAATAATTAGATAGGAAAGTCATGTGTTGGACACATCAGATTTTTTTTTAAAGTCCTTGGTATAATTTAAATTTTTTTAAATAGATATGTCTTCGTAAAATGGATCGCTTTAAACACATTTGGTTTATTTAGTTTGCCAGGGACGGCCTAGCTTTAACACAATAATGCTAAACAACAATAATATTTTTGGATAACATAAACCTTAAACTAAAAAATGTACTTTTGATCATGATCGATAAAATTATAGGATTGAAAATTACTTTGATTAAACTTTTACGTTTGACTTGAGAGAATGCGACATAGAGCTGGCCATGCGTAAATACATCCATCGTTAGATCAATGCCGATAAATTCGAAGGTTTGGCCTTGTGACATGGATGGTTATAGCAAAAGCTGGCTTTACAGGGAATTGATGGCGTTCCATGGTGAATCCCAGACCTTTGTCGAGAATGTAGGCAACTCTTCGTTTGTGTTCTCCAGTCATGATTTTGGCCAAGATGAGATTTGGTTCCTTCCAACTTGGTAACAATTAAACGTGTCCCATTACAAAGACCTTCATTTACACGTATATTTCGTATAATCATGTTCATAGAATTTTTCTTTAACTTTAATTCGTTTGAATGTAGATCTGCCAGATTTCTGTTCCATAAGTATTCATTTAAGAAGTCCACCCCTCCAAGTTAGTCTTTCACGGTATCAATACTGATATAGACGACTTTATTTTAAGGGAGTCGCTGATGAACCGTATCATTATACAATGCTAATGTCGCATTCGAATGTGATCACTTCTCCTTCAAGGTGACCTTCAGGATTCAAGATAGATTCATAGGATGCTTGATCCAGCTATTCCGGAAGTTGATTCATAGAGAAATTCATAGTTGATTGCTTATTGATTGAAAAGTGTGTTGATAAACAACGGTAATTTGACAGAGAGACAGACAGACAGACATTGGCACTTTAATATAGTAGGCCGTAATTTGTAATCTTTGACATCTAGGCGATTTCGTTCATTTAAATTTTCGACCAAATTCTATGTCTCGGGTACCATGATTTTGGTATCATTTTGCTTCTTTAGAGGGAAAGCCACATACTTTGATTTGGGGAAAGCTCACTCACGCGACATATCGCGCGCGACCTGCCGCATACGATTTTTTAGGTGCGATTTTTAACAGACGACAAGCAGCGACACAGACGTTCAGTATCAAAATAGAGGTGGAAGAAGTAGTAATGGTGTTATTTTATTTTGTTCATCGTCGGAAAAAATTGAAACGACGTAGGTACTGGGTTCGTCCATTATTTATAAACCCTTATTGAGATCTTATTGCCATTTATGAATATGCTTTTGCACTTTTTAGTAATTTTTAAAAATATATAAATACCTATAATATTACATTACAAGTTACAAGCGTGGAAAGTGATATTTTTCACATAAGTGGGAAATATTGTCGCATTAGGCATAAGCTGAGTGTGAAAATTACGTGTGTGAAAAATCGTCTATACACAAGTGACGTACAATAATAATTTCATCAAAAAAATGTAAAACTAGGAACTCTAGCTAAGGAGGTTCAATCAAGATGATGCTGGTTCTAGATTTGTTTCTATGCCTTATTGAATAATTTTTAATGTGTTTTGTAGGAAATTAAAAAAAATGTAAACCCATTTACAAACATTTTTATAGGATGATAAAGATATAATATTAGATACAAAAATATTAGAATTTAGAATTTCCCATAAGACTAAATAGTGATCATAGGAAAATATTTTTATATTATTGTTGTATTCTATCTCCAAATACTGAATAAAAAAAATTAAATTACTATTCATTCATATATTCAGTTTGCTCTCGCAAAGTTCAATTTCCCAAAAATTTTTGGACATAATAAGCAGCGATTACAATTAATATTGTATTTTAAGTCAAAGGTTATATTTTCAAAAAATACTCTCAGCAAATTACATGATGTAATTATTTCAGCTAATTCATTTTATGTCGTAGTAAGTACTATGCACTATTTTGAATATAATTAATTCTATTGTCTAGGTATTATTCCCATCTCGACCACTCTCTGTAGGATTATAATTAATTGGGAAACGGTAACAAATCCTATACAGATCATGATGTTAATACTAGTTTTATTAAGAAAACTATACTTACTCGAAAATCATTTTCAAAATGTAATTTAAAAGATTATCCTCTTTTGGTAAAAATCTATTAGAGGCTTCACAAAGAGATCGTAGTACACACACTCGTCCATTGTAACCCAACCTAAAAAAGAAATAAAAATTATATATTACAATAAAAGCGTGAAGTCTAGTCATTTACGAAGTATCTTAGTCAAAGTATAAACAAATTCTGGAAATGTATACCATTATTACTAGTGAATGTATACAAAAAGTTGCTAGAGTTTATTTTATTCATGCTTTGACTGAAATTATAGAAAGTATGCAGTCTGAATTCAGTACTTATAAGTAGTAGTCTAATGCCGTCTCCACACATTGGAGCCAACGTTAGCTCCAACAAGTTTCGTGTGTATTGACAAAACAGAGTTGGAGCCAAGGTTGGTACCAATGTTGAGCCAAGGTTGGTACCAATGTTGCGCCAACGTTGGAGTGTTTCTGTTGGTAGTCGGTTTTTGCGACGGGATCAAAGGAATTGAGAACAATATTGTTGTTGCCGACCACACAATCGCTCATGTATTCAGTCTATTTGCAAGGCATGCAGGTGAAAGTGGTGAAGATAATTATTTTTTACAGGATGGGAAAATGAGGAAGTGCTAGAGTTCTTGGAGCTATATCAAGCAGAATCACTATTATGAAACCCAATGGCCAAGGAGCATAAAAAACGAAATGCCATTGCTAATTCATGGCAACGTTTACAAGCTAGTTTTAGTATGGGTTGCTCAGTTGCTTATTTAAAAGACAAATTTCTACATCAGACATGTTAACGTTAGCTCCAAGGGGAACGGACATTATTGTGCTAATTCTTCCCCAATGCGTGGAAGCCATAACGAATATGAAACCCAACGATCGCCAACGCTGGCGCCAATGTTGGCTCCAATGTGTGCAGCTGGCATACAATCGGGTACAGATCTGAGCACGTACGCGTATGAGGCAAGCCGAGGACGCATGAGCATGCATATGTGGACGGGCTTCTTTCTGTACGCCGTGTGGCCTCGCCCAGATCCGTTTGTAGGCGGTACGTCAAAGAGAGTACGTGTGCTCAATCTGGACGGGGAATTTAGACCAAACAGCAACGAACAGATTATAGCGAGTTTTCAAAGGTTTATTTTGCATGAAGAGGAGCCAGGAAAACGTTTTAAATAATCAGCCTGATATCTTAAGAGAGCAATGTACTAGTTCTATTACAACACAATAAAAAAAGAATATTCTTGGCATGAAATCGCCAATCGATTCCATTTTTTACTTTTTTTTTAAATATGTCGAATAAAATATTGAAACAGGCACTTAAATTTGATCTAACAAACTCTTAAGAAATGTATTAGTACGAATAGTACTAAAAGATTGGTTACATTAGATGCGACGAATAGTGTAGGTGTGTGAATTTTAGTTTATACTGAAGGTGCAACTAAATCCTACTTGTTGGATGCGCCGTTAATGAAATTTCTACAGAAGACGTTTTTGAGTTGATTAGTTTTCCTCAAAAAATGACAATGGGGAATTTAGTAGAACATACAAAGAACTCCGGGGAACTGACGACAATTGTTTTGAATATGTTTAAATGAAATTATCGACATTTGTTTATATATTAAAGCTATTGAAAATAAAATTTATATTGTCATTTTTGAGAAAGTATTTCACCAGAAGAAAAGCTGATTATAACATTACGGTAAGTGAAACAACTTTTTGATAAGCAAAGATTGCCTTTCTTCCACGAGAAAAATTAGTTTTTCGATATCCATCTCGACGCGAATCGTACGATTGACTGACCGGAAACAAAATATGTTTTCTTCAGAACTGTCATACAAATTCGTAAGAATACGGACGAAATAGAGGTAACCGCATGTATATGCGAATTTGTATTTGTTTATTTCAGATGAATTCGTATAAATTCGAGTGAATTCGTACGATCAAATTTTCGTACGAATTCGTATCCACTGTGACCGCAGCCTTAAAAAAACCTCTTTGAATGGTGCGTTTGATTTGATCATCGGAGATCTCCGAGCGCTGCAAACGTGTTTGAATTGACACTCCGAGAGATCCCTAAAGTGTTTGTTTTGCTTTGGAGCGAGAACATAGAGCGAGCTCGATGTTCTCAGAGCAGATGGATCGAGAAGAGGGAGAAATTTGTCTTTGTCTCTACCTATCTCCTTTTAACTAACTTACAAACAAATTTGAATCTCAAAATTAAAGACCAGACAAGAAGTCAACAAATTACTTAGCCGCTTTTGTCTTATAGCTAAAATTATTCGTAATAAAAAACACAAAATGTGTGTTTGGAAAATACATTTTCTCTGTCCAGATCTAATCACCAGTAATCACAGGCATGGAGTATGAGAGTGAAGCGGGCATTTGTGGTATATGCTGCATTTCAGGGCCATTACTCCTTATTATTCAAAGTTTTTCCATTTTCTTTACTTTTTGCTCACTATTTTGACACACAAACCAGAATCACAAAAAAGCGAGGTTATGTTTTTTACTCTGTTTTATTTGATTTGATTTAATGCTCTATTGTGACGTCATCACTTCTCGGTCTCCTCGACGCTCGCTCGATCGAGTTTCAAATCAAACGCCCCTGAATAAGGTATGCAAATGTCAAATGTCTGGGCCACTCACATACGTAAGAGAAAATCGAAGCATGTGGGGCCACTGCTAAAGGGCTTTCAGGCGTCCTCAAATTTATATGATTAGATAACTCACTTGACATAAGTCTCCATCTCTTATATAATTAAGCATTCAACATAAATTCAACTTGGCATTTTGGAAAAAATATTAAAATCGAAAAAATAAGTACTGATGTTTATTTGTTGTAACCACATTATATTTATCATACTGTTTTCTAGTAGTAATATGATACATATTTACAATTTTTTTTCTGAACTGTAATAGTACAAAATAAATAGCGTAAAACTAAAGGATAACCTCAATGTAGAGGTTATATTACGTTTAAGTTGAATGTATTTAAAAAAAATAAACAATAATAATACATATTTTTCATATTTTTCTAAAATAAAAAAAGATTACTCTCATCGGGAATAAAGTATTATTGAAAATTATGAAAAGTTCCACTCCCTTATCTTAAAATTATAAAACTGTGCTTACGACTCCATTATTTTTTCTACTTTGCCATACAAGTCTCTCCTATTTCGTCTTTTCGCCAAAAATTTGGGTCCTAAGAAGTCTGCAATGGATTTGGTATCATTAGGTAAATCATAAGCCAACCCCCAGGCTAAGCTTTCTGTAAAAATCCCAGGTGGATTTACCCATAATTGTGCTGTCATACAAAATGCTGCCTGAAACAAACAAAATTAAAATAAATATTGACCACTAGTTTTGAATTTTTGTATATTATTAGTGAGTTTTATGGTAATTGAAATTAATAGTAAAAAGTCTACATATATTAATATAGTTTATTATTGTTCATATAGATTTCATTATGTAGAGGCAAAGTTACCAACTTGAAAATCATTTTTAGCTTTTTTTATTCACACGTTTATCAAATATTTTTTAAAATATTATACATAGTTTCTGATATCCGCATATGCTCAACGAACACAAAATTGAGACAAAAGGAATCAAACGCTTACGGCGTCATTTTGAAAGTCATTTTCAATCCATCGTTGTACCTATATTACACATCATTTTGTCAGAGCTTCAGAGCATGCTTTTTCACATTCTAATTATCATTATGTATTAAAACAAATCTTATCAAGTTAAGTACAAAAAGAAAGTTGATTTCAAATACTGTCTAAAGAGTAGTCAAAGTTTACTTTAATGTTATTCAAGTAAAAACAATTGTTAATGTATTTAAACCAGCGTGTTTCATTCTCCACTGATCTTTTATGTAGATAAAAAAATATTCTTTATTGATTAGTTCTTTAGATGCATACATATGAATCATTTTTTATCTAAAATATACAGGGTGAGATAATGAGTTGGTCCTTCGGGCCGGATATTAATTATCAATCCAATCTTCCTTAAAATAAACAAACATTTACAACAGTGTCTACAACATCGAAATCAACAAATCTTAAATTAAGTAAAAAAGAAAGCTGTGCATTTCAAATACTGTCATAAAAATAATCAAAGGTAAAAGAATAATTTTCTTCAAGTGAATAAAATTTGTAAATGTGTTTAAACCAGCAATTTTAAACCAGAAATCCTAATACTGCAAGGTATTGCATGTCTTCAGTTGGTCGTAAAAAAGTTTCATATCAGTTTTGTAGATATTTCAGAGCCGAATGACTTTAATAATTACAGTTTGGGTTGAAAAAGCGAAAGTTTTCGAGAACTTCAGCGGCCTTTACTTTGTGCATTTGTCATCGAAGTGTAGTAATTCAATAAGATAAATTGTATAAAATATTACTAACTACAACTATTACATGTAACTTTTTCCATTACGACTCTCAATTTAGGGGCAAAGTCGATTTAAAATAAAATGTAACACAAAATTTATAAAATTTTGTTTCAAGCTTCTGCTAACGATTCATAAATAATAAAAAATAGCGTGGAAAGGTAGTTTTCATTTTTATTTTCCTGTTACTATGTGTACATTCTTCAAATTTCTTAAAAATTGATTCGATAATTCATATGGGCGATTCTACAAAAAGGGGGACAAATCAGAGTATTTGCTCATTATTTCTTGCCCAGGAAAAATTAAAGTATAAATTGTAGTTCAAAACAATTAATACTATGTATCGTGTCGTTTAAAAACATTAGCAACAAGCCCAACCCAGGAAAAATTATAGAAAAGTTATTTTCCAGCCACATGCTGGTTATAACTAATTAAAAGTTTAGAATATATAAGGGGTAAGTTGAAATATATGGTATTGTAAGAAATCCAATTTGATTAAAATATTCATTCGCACTTATCAAAATAATTGCGGTGTTTTTCGAAATATCGAAGAAGAAATTTTTAAAGAGGCCATTGTTGAAGTTTGTCGCAGTTGTAGTAGCAAAATTAATTCTATCTATTGATTGGAACTAACTGAAAACCATACAATTATTTGTTACCATCCATCCGTAGTTAAACCTAAAGAAGTATTTGTTTGTTGTTTTGCAGCTTCTTGTTTCTTCCCATCTTTTCTTGAACTTCACAAGGGAATGTTCTTTAATTAGGTCTGTCACTACCGATGTTGTCAGTCCAATAGAAAGACTAGGTTTAAACAGTATTTGGTTGGCTGCCTTCTCAGCTAGTGAATCAACAAGATGTGGCGTAACATTTGATCTATCTTATGATTGAGCACATTATTGATGGCTACTTCGGTCAAAGCTTCGTGTCATTCTAGTACTAACCCTGAGTAAATTCATGGTCTGTTCAGGGTGAGTAGTGCTTGTCTGCTATCTGTATAGATGAAATTGTTTCTGGTAACTTATTTTGCTGCTATGAGAATCCCCATAAGCTTGGTTTGAATTACACTGCCACTATTGCTCACAGCCCATTTTATGTTTAGGTTTAAGGATCTAGAGTATATTCTACATCCTGAGCCTTTTTCTGTTTTAGAACCATCGGTGTAGATATGAATCATACCTGCCACTTCCGGCTCTTCTATTTGTTCTGTTACAACTTTATATGGTTAAAGGAAGATAAATCTCGATGACATAAGTTCGCTTGAAGCAGTGGGAACGAATTCAAAAATCTGATGTGTCCAACACATGACTTTCCTATCTAGTTATTACAGGCTTTTTCCGGTTATTTTGTACAACCTATTGCAGCACCTCCATAAATGTTTAGAGGATAAACTAAATATATACATTTTCCACATACATTTACATCGAAACATTTTTCTATAGATATTCATTGAAAATGAAAATACTGAAAAATTTAAATTTTGCACTTTTCCTACAATTTTTCCATTACGGTCCATTTTAGAAAAATCATGTATAAACAAAAATTATAGAGATTAATATCGCAAACAACTTTTATTTCAACAATTTTGATAAAAATCAGAATTTTGCCCATTTTGTCAAATTTCTCGAATACGGACCATTTCAGGAAATTTTGACAAAACACAAAAATTATAGATAATAATATTTGAAGTAA